ACAAACCAGTTGTCCATTAAAGACTTTTTTGGTAAAAAGAAGTAACTTTGAAAGAGAAACATTGTTTTTTTTTTAAATTTTAATGCTTTCCCGCATCTATCGTTTTCCCGCATTCATCGTTTTTATTTCCCACCCCCGCCGAAAACGATGCATCGAGGTTTCACTGTATTTATTTTTAACCCACATTGTATTTTGAACTGTTCATTTTAGAGTCAAGAACATGTTTTAAATTTGTTTGTACCAGAGCAATATAATATAATATTAATGTTTCAGAGGTATTTGAAGGTTTGGTTTTCAGCTGTCATGTAATAAGTTGTAGAATTTGAAGGATGGCATATAACATGAAGAATAGGAGAGATGAAAGCTTGGTTCTGACACCTGTTTATGCAGATATATAAATTCTAACGATTAGGTTTGCTGTAAACCAAAAATGTGAACATCAGTCAGTCCACGTGATTTATTAAATGGTGAGAAGCATAACTAATAAAAGACTTCTTGCTGTTCACTTGTAATTTGTAAAATGTGATTTGAAGGCATAGATTAATTGGGTTGGGTGTTCTTTAAGACAAATGAAATTGTGATTAGTAGATACAGAGTTGCTGAACTATGGTGAAAGATGACTCTAGGATTAGAGGGTCAAGGAGAATACATGGACATAAAAAAACAATAACAGGGGGATGGGGAGAAAAACATGAGGGCTTCATAATTTGAACTCTTAGCCTTATATTATTGAGGAGATTAAATAAAGGACAGGGCGAGTAGGACTTGTTGATGCAAGGGACAGATGAGAAATGTGTACAAACCATTAGTCAGAAAACAAAAGAAGTTACCACTTTGGGCACCTAATATTATGTAGAGTTAGTTAGATAGGACTTCGTCACTCATGACATGTTGCAGGGTCTTCCATCCAGACACAGAGCAGAATAGATCTGTGCCAAGTGCTTTTCAACTCAACGCTGTCCACACAGTTTGTAGCCCTCAACCAGCATATTGAGCCACCGGGAATTGCTGTGTATTCATCAGGTATGTGTGTAGTTATAATAAATTGAGGAAATATGAATATTTAGTTAAGTTATAATCAACTTAAAGTATGTATAGGTAAAATTCCAGAATACCATTTATTTAATAGCTCAGTTTAGTAACAAACATTGGTGAAGATTTGGTAGTACAGGTAGCCCTCAATTTACGCCGGGGATACGTTCCTGGATTAACCGGCGTAAACGGAATCGGCGTAAATTGAAACTCTTTTATATTGTAAATCAATGGGAAGTCAATGACATGCGTTCCCAGCACCCAAACATTGACGAGTAATGTAATGACATTACGTTTAAAGCTCTGAAATAATGTAAATAAAATAAGGGAATTTTAAAAATATATTTTATATACTTACAATCGGCAATTCGTTGGTCCCCGCGATTGACTGCGATTCTTTCATGTGACTGATATGTACAGTCATCTCTGCTGTTATGCGATAGTTGCATTCATGTAAGACGCCGACCTAAGAGAGAATCACGTAGTATAAATAACCTCGGTACCCCCGCAGAGATTAAATTAGTCCTTTGAAAGTTTAAAGCTGTTTCTCTACCAGTGAATTCAAGTACTGCTAGGTCTGCCATTAACCAAAATTTCTGATGCTTGAAGGCTTAGAGGTATGTAATTGATATATATTTTAAGAGCTGAAACAGCCTTACAAAATATTTAATTTGAAAGACTTCTGTCTCTTGCTTAAGAATGGGTAAACATATGGCCTAACTCCTTGACGGCTAGTTGATGATATCCAGTTTTTATGAAACAGCTTGAAAAATCTTGCAGGCAGCAAGGGTATCAGAAACGTTGGTAAACTTCTACCAGACTACACGGCACAACAACCCAGAAGATCAAACTCGCTGCCATGAAAACCTCAAATCCTATATTCATAACATGTTACTTATCTTCGAAAAGAAAAATGTTATGTATTCCTATTATTTGCTTACTTTTTACTCTTGTACCTGCTGTTACAGAGGTGTTACAAGAGGCTCTAATTATTATTTTTTTTTTTTTTTTTTTTGTCTTAAGCTAGTCCTGTTCTCATTCAGTTCTTTTCAGTTTCCTCTTAATATATTTTGAATTCCTCTTCCTAAATTTCTGCAGAGCATGTTGTAGGTATTCTTTCTTGCTGTCTTATCTATTATGGTATATTAGGGTAGCTTTTATTTTCTGACCCATAGTAATTGAATTTGAATTTTCTGATACCCTTTGGTGGTGAATACATATTGTTTGTTTCCTAATGTTATCTTCTGGGGTTCTTTTCTATTCTTTTAAAATATCTAATTTATATTGAACTTTAGATAACCGAAAATCACAATCTTAACAGGAACAGGAACCCTACTGTTGACAAGTGACTTGCTTTGTACAGCCCAAGTCTTTGTATTGCAGAGGAACGAAGACAGCTGGAGTACAACAATTCTATTAACACATCTGCCCAGGCTCATCACTACCTTGACACTCATCCAGACTTCTTGGATGCATATGGCCATAGAACTGAGTACAATAAAGTGATGTCAAATGAAAACAAAGAGTTTGAAGGCGGTGCGACAAGAGTCTCTAGTTTCCGACACAGAGAAGATGATTCTGTTTTGAGGAACAGTGCCAGTGGGAAAGGTCCTGGTTACTTCTACAATGAGGGTGACTATTTTGTAGCAAACCGAGGACGAAATAGGATTTCAAATGATGCTGGGGAGCAAGAAGAGATGCTGGCACCTGACTTTCAAGGTAAACATTTGTAACACTGTTGCTCATCAAACAGGTAATTTAGAACAGATCCATAAATCCATACTGTTAATCTTATTTCTGACAAATTCAGGGTAGGTGATAGGTTTAATTTTTGTGCACATGATGTTATATGGTACATTTAGGTGAGGTGCACATTGGAAACTTCTTACTGCTACTATCTTCATGTATCAGAGACATTTAATTGTAAGTCTTGTCTCTGCAGTTAGATTATGTATTGAAAAATAGTGTGATCTTGTCACGTATTTTGTACATATACTTGTCTGAAATTGTGAGCTTATAGAAGGAAACAAGTATTTTGAGGTATTTGGTTGGTGATTTTACAGTGCTGTCTGACTGTGGTTGTGTGGTGTTGGTTGTATAATAAGACAGATGTACATAAACAGACAATGATTCATGTTTATATAAGACTTTAAATGTATGCATAGTAGAGAGATCATGTGCGTCTCTCCATGTGTTGGCCCTCATGTTTGATCTCTTCCAAACACTCTGACCATTCTGTTGAAATGTGTTGGGAGTCTACATAAAAAGTTGCCACATGAATTTAATTTTTGTCTGTAACAGTCCCCTGAAAGTCCTACTTAACATTAATTTTACCATGTCTCAAAAATGACTTATCACATAAAAATTGTTACTCACTATGAAATATAGATCTCATTTGTAACTTTAATTGCAAACATTTTTCTAATATGTATGGTGTATGTTTTATGCAATATATAAGGGCGTATTTATGCCAGTGAATGTTATACTATAATTTTTTTTACATGAACACTAGGTGTGTCCTGCCACAAAAGAACATCCATTCCTGTAACAGATGAAGAATTGCAGAGAATAAAATTATAATTTAAGCGAGAGTACAATTTTCCTTTCTAGTTAATTACTGATGAGAAGGAACAGCTTTTTGAAGATAATGTTTTACGTAGGTAACGGTGAGTATCCAACTGTGAGGAAACATGGAGGCACTCAACCCTTGGAGCAACCTTGGCAGCAGCAGGGAGAAGAGGGCAGTATTCCGCTGACTTATAGCAACCTAATGGGAAGTAACCCAGCACCAAATCAGGAATCTGATTATGAGCTTCTATATGGCCCAGTGAGTGCAGAGTCAGTTGGGGGCAGTCAACAGGGCTACCCAGTGGACACTCAGCATGACAAGAGAACAGAATACAGCAGAGTCAAGAGAGGCGTACATAGTGTGCATGGCTTGCAGCAACTCACTTCATTAGGCAAGTGTCTTGTTTTTCATTAGTGTGGTGCATTTTAGTCTTAGGATTAGGTTCTGTGGTTTTGAATTTTGCTACGGCTTATCCCACATTAAAAATAAACTTATTATGGCAGCAACATTACAGCATATAGCAGGATAATGTAATGTGAGCCACCCAGGTACTGTACACTACAGACCCCAAGTCTGTACTACACAGTCAGGCCCCCCATAATCTTATCATCAACCTGAGAAGGCAGTTGCCCAACACAAGTTATAAATTACGAAGTTATATGCTTCATGCGTATAATTTATTTCCTTTCAGACTGAAGATCTTGAATTTCATGTAGGTTCAGTAGTTTCATTCCTTTGTCGGACTTCTGTGATAACAGTTATGAACTGTAGGATGAATTTCTTCAACACATGCTGCTGTCATGATGTGCTGATGTGTAGACTGTTCACTTTGTCAGATTCATTTGTTTGTCTTCCATAGGAATGCTGGTACCACGCCTCCCGGCTTCTAGCAAGAATGACACCATTGACTTGGTGTTTGTATCATACTGGATACATCCAGTGACTGAGGCTCAGGTGATCCTTGGAAAGGATAAGGACTGCATAGAGAAGAAACGAACAGAAGCAGAAACTGACACTGCAAGTGGTAAGTAGACAACAGAATTGGATATATAAAAATATGGATAAATGTTTTTGCTTTTAATGTGGTTGTTGAAGCTGTTGCCCCCTCCCCCCTCACATAGTATAATGAGGGTCTACTTTAAAATGTATTTATTATACAATAAAAATTGTAATTGAACCCTTATGATGAGAAAGTTGTTTTTGAGTATGAGATTGGACACCTTTGAAAGACTACCTGTTTTTCTTTTAAGATTGAGTTACCTAATCGTCTTCAAAATTAGGTATCAACTTGTGATCATCATATTGGTGGAAGCTCATTATTTGTTTTTAAAACAATCTTCTATTCAATGGATAATTTGAAACCGGTGTGTCCAGTATTCGTTTGGCCTTTAAAGACTCTGTGGTACAATGCTTTCATTTCTAGATATGCACATTGCTCAGAGCTTGTGACAAAAGAAATTGCCATTTTCACCTTCACCAGTATAAAACTGATGCATGGGTTTGTTATATGCATGTTCAATGGTATAAAGAAGGACAAAAATTGTATATGATAATTATAGATTTTACAAATTGATGGGTTTGATGCAGAAAGGACATTGCTCCCATTTTATAAATCTGTGGTTGTAAGGTTAAAACCATGGTCACAGATGCTACAGTTGTTCATATTGACATATTTTCATCATATCAGCATTATTTTCTGAATCTAATAGTAAAAAAGAAGTTGTGTTTACTTTTTCTTCCTGCCAGACTTTCTCTTGTTAAAGAATTGAGGAAGTAGCTTGTGTGTGCTATCCTGCCTAGAGTGAAAATGAAAATGTTGAGTTTCAGGTAAATATCACAGTTTTGATCCTGAAATGGCTGTGAAGGACTGCTTAGAATATAAATGGGAAGACAAACCAGCAGACACACAACCTGACCATTTCAGCCTGAACATGGGCCAGGCTACAGTGTACAGGCTGAGGATTAGTTGCAGATGTAGGGATGTGAGGATTGGGGAGAAGTGCTCATCCATTCTGCCATTCAGTCAGCAAAGTTGGCCTGGATTTATGGGGCATAATGGTAATGGACACTTCAGACCAAGAAATGGCTAAAATCTCATTCATGAAGTAAGTTCGTACATCATATTTTTAGTGATATACCGTAAATGTTCAAATAAGCACAGGCTACTTACTGTTTACAGTCTCTTATGCTAATACCCAGCTTAAGCATTTAATCAGACGTCTGCAGCTTTAAATTTATGCTTCTTTAAAATGAGAAAATTTAAAATATACCAGCTTAAAAAAGTTTTAATGTCTGGTAAATACTGATGCAATTGCTGTCCTCAGATCAGCTATCACTAGTACATTTTTGATTGTGTGTTTACAGTTTATCAGATGGTACCTGGCTGTAATTTTAACCAAGGCCAATATGTAAGCCTGGCATGTAATCGAACATTTGCGATATATTAAGAAATTCTGTTGTATTCATTACCCCTTCTGTCTCGCAATTTTTCTGTTTATTTCTCTTAATTAATTTATTTTGTTGGTAATATTCACTGCTACGGCATATGAACATGTGTGACAGGAGTAATAAAGGGAAATGTATTTATTACTCATGCCTTAAATTTTTCTGTTTTTACAGCATACAGCATTTAATTAGCACATTTCCTTATTTGTATCTTTCTACTTGTTTGTATATACAAATAAAATGGATGAATGTATGAACTCATCTTTTCACTGTAGCTTAAAGTAACAGAATAAACACCATTTCAATTCTTAACTACTAAATGGAATTTTCCCCTCTGTCATCAGAGCACAACTTAAGAGAAAATGAATATGTTTTTTTTTTTTTGGGGGGCAAACACAACATATAAGTCATGAATATGTGCAGTTTACTGATGAGTGATAACCATGAAGATTAAAGCTTGGTGTGGTTCAGGTCAGTAGAATATTTTAACAACTGTGCAAAGACCAAGGAAAAATCATGTAGAACAAGTTACAGTACCAAAAATACACAGGAAGCTCCACCAGTAGAAACTGAGAGGGAAAGGAGAACAACTTCCAGGTTGGAAAAATAGGGGAGGGAGACTTGTCAGATGAAGTTTGAGGTAAACCATAATGACACATTGGGCTGTGATCAGCTCAGTTCATGTTCTGATAACACAACAAATAATTCTGCTAGCATAATTCAACATATTGAAAATACATGGTAGAAACATTTATTATGTTACAGTAATATGATTGATAAAAAGTGTCAAGGGTGTTCTAATGAATGATCTGAGCAGTAATCATTCAGTTTTATGATTAATGCCACATCTGGCCACTGTTTGACATTCTATTTTCTGGAAATACATTGCTACATGTTGTAACACTTTTTCAAATAAAACTATGAAACTTTTAAGAGATGCAAGTTTAAAAACCCTTGATGCTTGCACATATTGAAAGTGAGAACTGTACCATTTTCTTACATGTTCCACAAGATAATCTCTCCACACACACACAAACCTTCACTTGTCTATTTTAAGAAGAGAAAGTACCACATATTTTAAGCTATCCTCTATTTTCAGATTTTCCAACAAAGTTTATATTCATTTCTCTTTTCTTTTTTACATATGCCCCATGTTTTGCCCATCTGACACTTAATAGTTTAATTATCCTAGGAACACTGACTGGAGAGTATAAACTGCAAAATTCATTGTGTAATTACCCTCATTCTTGCAATATATTTAATTCTCTTCAGCATTTCTTTCTCAGTGACAAAGAGACCCACCAAGTTTCATTCCCATATAAAGCAGGAGATAAAATTATAACCTTATACATTTTTACCTTACATTTACAAAGAAGAGACAGGAAGATGACAATTCCAAATGTAATTTGCTCATTACATCCTGAATATAATCTTGATTTTTTACTATTGTACCTTAACCCTTGAACTCTACCTCACTTATTAATAATTCCTAAGTATTGATAGACGTAGAAAAACAGCCAAGTAAAAGGGGATAAGAAGTTGGTGTTTATTATCCATCAAACTGAATAACAGCATAGTTTCCACTTATCATCCAATCACGTGACTTTGCAGCAATCATTTCAGCTTGTCCAGGCTGCAGACCACAAATAAGATCTGCTTTTAAGGTTCGCAGAGTCACCAGAGGAGCTGGATGAAACCCTTGAAGAGCATTTGCAAAACTCTCTGTGGCTAACCAGTTTGTTTCACCTACAAGTTTTCGATAATTAAGATCACCCTTGAAAATCACCAATGTAGCTTCAGAAAGTTTATTATACAAGTTGTTGTCTGTTGCTTTCATCTTGTTATAAGAATGAGGCAGTGTCCAGAAATCTTCAGCCTCTACCATCCATCTCCCCGACTGTAAATATTCCTCCCATCTGGTGGCTAGTGCTGGCAAACTTGAAGATTTATGTGAAAGTTCAGCCATCATTTGAAGAACCCAGTAGAAATCATACTTTGTTGCGTCTGATATGAACCATGGCATAGCTTTTACATGGAAACGTACCTTGTCTGCCAAAGAGAATGTGCACAGAACATCTGCGAGACAGAGGTCTGTAAAAATCTCATATCCAGCATTATCATTGACAATATCTGCAATGGAAGGAAAGTAATGCACTTGTTTACTGTCCAAATAACTGAAAATCAGGATATATAAAACAATAATTTTGCCTTTTGTCTTGTATGGTTGTGAAACATGGTCTCTTACTTTGAAGGAAGAATGTAGATTACAAGTGTTTGAAAACGGTGCTCAGGAGCATATTGGGATCTAGGAGGTATGAAATAAGTTGGGAATTTAGAATACTGCATAACAAAGAGCTGGTGAATTGTACAGGTCACCTAGCATAATGAGGATAGTGAAATCTAGGAGACTCTGATGGGCTGGACATGTTGGGGGGGGGGGGGGAGGCAAGCGGTGCATACAGGATTTTGGTAGGGAATCCTGGAAAACGACCACTGGACAGACCAAGAAGGAGGTGGGAGGATAATATCAAGATGGATCTTAGGGAGGTGGGCTGTGAGGATGGCAAATGGATGGGGTTGGCTCAGGATCGTGGCCGGTGGCGGGCTTTGGTGTTGTCAGTGTTGAACCTAAGGGTTCTGCTACCAGGGAGTTAGTTTTAGTTGTAATAAAACTATAGCACTGAGGTATTTCATGTGACTTTTCAACATTGACACATTTGATATTACCACTTTAGTATTGTGGCAGTTCTTACCAATGACACTGTTGCCTTTGACAGCAGCCGTTAGGATTGACCAAATGCACTCTGAGTCATCAATTAAAATGCACTCATGCAACTGATCAATATGTTCAAAAAGATTAGATTCCTCAGGAAGTTCATAACCACTGGGACGTGATAGATCATGCTGATTTCCCCATAAGGCCACCTGAAAGTGCACAGTGAACTTAAATTAAACTTTACATATTTTATACACAAAATAAATATTTGTACATGTGGTATGGGTATGCAAAGGTAACTAATCAGTAAAAGGATAAATCACATGCACAAATGCACCAGTATTTTCTCATACTGGTGCAGAAATCCCCATACCCAAGTACATATATCCACATTGAGACACCAATAAACTTGTCCTCTCAAAGGGGGAGAGCCTGGAAGCTTTGAATGCAACAGTGGCATATGAAACCCATATAAATTTTAGTACAGGTGGCCCTCGATTTGCGCCGATTTTGAAACCAGCAAGTCAAAAAGTGAAAAAAATGTATTTTACTATTATTTATAACGTTTTACAATGTATCTCGTACTGATTCTTATACTAAATCGTAATTCTTACATCGCTGATTCTGAATAAGAATTATAAATACAGTCATCTCTGCAATTACGTATGTTTCGTTACCTTGATAAGTCGCAGCAATTCCTCCTTCATTGCTAATTGTGGTAAGTTTCCCATCTGGCATTGCTGCCAAACATGGTCTCCCAGGATAATCACAGAAGCAAGTGAGCTAAAGAAAGCCTCTTTCTTCTGTTTATGGAATGGATCAAATGTCTTCATGCTGATGCTGTGGGACAAAACACACAAAAAGGGCTCTACAAATCACAAAATAAGGATTTTTATGGTCTAGACGACCGGTGGACGGAATTTTATGTATATTCCTAACATAATTAAATAATAATAAAACTGTCACTTTCCAGGTAATAAAACTACTTGCTGTTGGCATGATACATTTTACATTTCTAACTGATTAACATTACAAGTTTCAATACTGTCACTAATGGTGATAACATTAATTGCTGTAGTTCTTGATACAAGATAATGCCAGTTCTGGATCACACATAATTAACGTACTTCATGGTTTTGTTCACACAACTTTTGATCAATATCAAGGTAGTCAGTTCTGTTCAATTTAAATAATATCTTTGGACCAACCAGTAATATGTATGTGAATGTTTCCCACATTACCAAAATGTATCCTGAGACAGAAATAGGTCTCGTACTATTATGTGTTATAATATAATATAATATGTGTATGTAAGACTTGAGGTTCTCACAGCGGTGAGTATGAAGATTTCTGTCTTCTGGGTTATTGCGCTGTGTAGTCTGGTCGATGTTAACCAACGTTTCAGAGGTCATACTGCCTCCGTCATCAGGGCGATGAATATGCCAATAGGGTGTGAGGAGTTGGATTTTATAGGCAGGCATATTCATCGCCCTGATGACGGAGGCAGTATGACCTCTGAAACGTTGGTTAACATCGACCAGACTACACAGCGCAATAACCCAGAAGACAGAAATCTTAATATGTGTATATTTTCCTCTTCAATCAAACTGAAAACAGTGGTATTTCAGGTTCTCATAGCACCATGTCTGAAGATGACTCTTCTGGCATATTGCATTGTGTAGTCTCAAAAACTGACAAATGTTTCAGAAAGGTTTGCCATTGATTTCCATTTTCTAATGTTTTTGAACTATTATACTCATAGTGAGTTCATAAACATGCTCTATTTATACATATCACAAGTAATGTTCATTACTTCTGAGGAGCTCAATCCTATAGCAGAGAGCCATGAAAACTGCTAGACCATGCTTCATGACTTTAAAAATGTTACCTTTTGTTTACATACCTCAGTTCAAATGCCTCATGTATCCTGCGGTACATGTAGCATTCTGCATAAAGCCATGAGGTATGGAACCACCTTGGTTCTGAACCTTCTCTCTCATTCTCTTTCATGTAATAAGCATTCCATGATGAAACATCTGGTCCATCTGAAGTAATCGCTTTAAATGGCTTATCTGTTAGTAACTCATTTTTCAATTCAGAAAATGAGCCTATAATCTTCTTTAGTTCTTCCCTCGTATACTGAAATAATGAATACATACTTATTTGTTCCAAGAGATTCTGTACAATATTCTTCATTCATATGTAGGACTTACCTCACCAAGAGTCTTCACTATTTTTTCCTTATCCCTTACTAAGCAGTCTATTACTTTTGTTACGGTAATAGGAAGTCGATCTCGCACCGTCAGATAGGCAAAACTCCTATAAATCACAAGTAACTTTTATTCTTTCATATAACTGTTATTTCTGAACAACATCCTCTTATAGTAACTGATTGCTACTAGCTTTGACCATTACAATTAAACACCCTTAAAAGTTATACCAACAATCTAAGGGATATTTGTGCAAGTATGACATTCAGTTAAGTATTTCCTTGGTCTGTTAGGCTTCACATTCCACCTATTTCTCTGGTGAACGTAGAGGTGGTGTTGCCATGGGTTTGAGTCAGGGATACAGATCAATTATGTACTCTCTTGATCTGGTAGCCATGACATGGTCTATTGCTGTGGTGAACATTAAGTCTGGTCAGAAGTTTGAGTCTTAGCAGAGGGTTGGACCTTACAAGTGATCAGTAATCATAATAATCCTACAATTCGACAATACGTCACCTAGACAGTTGCACCAATAACCTATTATACTCAATTGTCATCAATTTTCCTTCAATACTTCCGATGTCAAGTGTTTAGAACAAAATACCCGTTTTCTGTAAGTGCGATTCGTTTCACTGTCTTGTAAAACACATAAATTCAGACTAGGAGGGTCGAAGTGTCTAAGTTTGAATGACCGGCACTTCACTCAGCTACACTATAAACTTCACGAATGACGACTAACTGGGCAAGGTTTCCTGATGGTCTTGGATAGTTTATAATTCTGGAAAATGCACTTGTCTAATTTAACACATTCTAACAATGTATAACAGGCAAGAAATTCTACAGAGCGTATGTAATTCATCGTGTTTGGACAATAAAAAGTTACTCCGCATATAACGGAGTACAACTACCTTCTGTATTTAGCTGAAAGTAGAGCATTTACGGGAGTGACAGTATCTATAGTATCATCATGAAGAGACATTATTCCTTCAGATTCCGATTATACTTATTATTAATCCAGTTCAAGCAAATTACGTTACTATTTAACAAATTATTCTCTAATCCCCTTGTTATTCATACTACAGCAGACGATTTCTCTACTACTAGGACATTGCCAAATTTGGAAACCAATTTCTTTCAAGAAATTTCCTTTGCCAACTGAAAATTCTCCTATGTTAACCATAGGTTATCCCTTTTCATTACTATTTCGTTCTGGTTTGTACTCTGTGCTATATAGGCCCAAAGACAATTGCAAATAAGTGAACGTACCCATATCGTGGTTTAAAATTTGATTTTGAACTTCTTGAATAATAGTTTCCGTTGAATATACGTGATTAAAGTACAGGTATATATATTTAGTACGTCAGTAGTGTCCACATTTTTCTGTATCTAGGTTATTTCTTTCAGAGAACAGAACTCAGCGTGTTTTGTTGTAATTCGTCCTACATAGAGAATTAAAGTTTTTCGCTGATTTTCCAGCATTGGGGTTAGATTGTGAGTTACTGCTATAACAGAAAATGGTGGATCCTGCCGAAGAGTTTGAGTTATCGAAGGAAAATATACAGCCACTGAAGAAAGGTCGGGTGATTTGTCAGTTGGGCACAGCACTTTTAGCCCAGGATGATCAGCAAGCACATCACGAACTCTTCAAACAAAGAGAGTAAGTTAGCACGAACATTAATTACAGCTCTTGTGTAATTTAAAACGATTTTCACTCAGGTGAAGTTTTCTATTGCAGGAAGTATGAAGTATTACTTCGATCTTATGAAGGTAACGACCCTTTAGAACCATGGTATGAATATATATCGTGGGTGGAACAAAGTTTCTTGAGAGATGGGCGAGAAGGAAATTTGAATATTTTATTGGAGAGGTGCCTAGCACAGTTCAAAGACGATGAGCGATATTTGCAAGACCGGCGGTACATTGAACTGTGGATTAAATATGTAAGTAAACACCAAAGCAATGTGTGGTTGTATGAAAACTGTAGTATATAGTGAGAATTTTCCACTCTAGAAAGAAACAAAATTCAGGCCACAAAGCATGGTGTAATCTAAAAACATAATATACAGTCCCAATATTTACTTTCCAGGGATAGAGGACTTGCAATTTGATGACAGGCTGTGTTCTCAGCTCTTAATCTGTGTACATTGAGAATGCAATTGCCTTACTGATGGACCTTTAGCTCCTCCCACTTGTTCCCATCTTGGCAGTCTTAATTACTTTGTTTCTTCCTCCCTCACCTTCTTATCTTCATTGAGTGGTCTGCATACTGGGCTCTTCCTACAAGGTCAGCGGCCATAAATGCTGGATCGAGTTCTACCAAAATGTGTTTCAACTGTGAATGATTGAAGTTTCTTATATTATATGTGTGGTGCTTAGGCCTTAAGCCCTTAAGTCAATACAAATTACATTTGACTTTGGTTCTTCTCACCAAGTGCCAAAGATATATATTTGAAATACCCACACCAAAGTGTATTTAAACTGCATGTGTTAGTGGTAAATTTTTACTTCAGAACCACAGATATAAAGCAAGTGTATTACTTTATTCCAGATTGAAATGTCAATAAATCCTCTTCAGGTGTATAAGAGATGTCATGCCCATGGCATTGGCAAATATTGTGCACTTTTTTATATGGCATGGGCATTTGAATTTGAGAAGGCTGGTGATATTAAGCGAGCAAACCAGGTGTTTTCAGAAGGATTCAAGAACTATTCACAGCCGAGAGATGAACTAGAGGAGGTTCATAAGTAAGTGCTAGTAACAGTATTTCTGATTTTTCATGGGCATATTTGGTTTGTGAATTAATTATCTGTACATATTTTATTTTAATTTTTATAATTTGTTAAATGTATATATACAGATACTCTTGTCAAAGCATTCCCACTCATTTATTATAAGTTTTTAGCATCTGTTTCATGGCATTCTTTCCGTACCATGTTCTGTTTTTGGTTATGTGAAGGCTAAAACTTAATCTGCCATGACATTTCTGTGGATATAGATTGCTTTAATATGTGGTTTCTTATATTAAATGTGCCACTTTGAGATTTTTATTTACACACAGATGTCTAGAGTAAATCAAGTTTACCAGTTTCTTTTTACTGTATTGTTTTGGTATTATTAATCATTATGTTCAGAAACTTCCAGCTTCGAGTGGCAAGGCAGGTTTTGAGTGGCATATCGGAAGTTGAGGCTGTATGCACAGAACAAAGAGTGGTACTGAATAGGCTGAAGGCCGTTGGCCGCAAAAGGAACTGTGTAAGAAACGTGCGAGTAGGAGAGAATGTTCAACAGGGATTTGCTGGAGTTCTTCAGCCCATAACTCAACGTGGCCACCGCTCAGGAAATACCCATTCTGACTGTATTGAAGTTTTCAATGTGAGTGTTTGAATGTTGTAAGAAATTAATGCCTTGGATACAAATTGGGTTTTTTTTCAAAGTAATTATATTGAAAGTTATTTAAGAAAGTTACTCAAGGAGCAATAATTTTTGTCGAGGTAGGAGGTATATGTTCTCAGTAATAAATTGACATTCTCAAAAATATAAATTCTGTTGAGGTTGGATAACATTATGTAAATAATATCTGTGAAGTAAAATAGAAAGACTCGAGATTGTACATTGAATTGTTCTACAAAATGTATTTGGGATTATGTAAATTTAATGCCTATACCCCCTTCTGTAGTAAAATCTATCTATATCAGAACCTGAATTAAATGGAAACATGTCTGTATCTGGAAAACTTCTGTGGCCTGTATAATATCCTGTGAAATTAAATATAATGTTATCTGTAATAGGTAGAAAGTCTTTAACATGAAAAGTAAAAAACAAGAATAGTGTGCTTGAACTTTTTTCTATTCATGAAACTTTTGTATACTGTGCTTTCTGGTGTATATATGTGTAAGAAGACAGTAAGCTAAATACAGTTAACTTATGGCAAATGGCATGACACCACATTGAATATAAAAGAAGGAGGAGCGTCCAGGTGCAGTCTGTTTATCTTGAACTGTGCTGACACTTAATATTAATATGATTTTATTGGATTTGCAGGATGTGGAAGACAACATAGGTATTGAGTTTGCTGTGTTGGAGGAGCATCTCTCAAGCATACCACGAAGGGAAATAATAAATAAGGAAAATTCGTTAGAGCCAGGACCATGGACCAAGAAGTATCGTAAAATGCGTACAGCTGCAGCTTCTGTTTCACGGCCATCTTTTGAATGTGAGAATTCTTTAATTTTTTACTGAACTTTGTAGGAATTGCAATGTTAATGATAGTCTTCAATGTCTTCTGTCTTTCTACAACCTTTTCTTCTAGACTTAATGCCATTTCTTCCCTGTGTACTTGATCTCTGCTGGTATATGGCTGTAACATATTGTTCTGCGCCGATTCAGAATAACGCCAATTTTGAAACCAGAAAGTCAAAAAGTGAAGAAATTTTTTTTTACTATTATTTATAACGTTTTACAATGTATCTTGTACTGATTCTTATACTAAATCATAATTCTTCCATCGCTCATTTTGAATAAAAATTATAAATACAGTCATCTCTGAAATTAAGTACGTTTTGTTAACGCGAATTTACTCCAATGAGATCGATGAATCGGTAAAAGCTGTTTGTGAAATGCAAACTTTTGCGCATGCGTGTTTGCTCTAATGCAGTTTCATTCCTGGCGCTTTAAACTTTCAAAGGACTAATTTAATCTCTGCGGAGGTACCGGGGTTATTTTTACTACGCGATTTTCTATAGGTCAGCGTCTTACATGAATGCAACTATCGCATAACAGCAGAGATGATCGTACACATCAATCACATGAAAGAATCGCAGTCAATCACAGGGACCAACAAATTGCCGATTATAAGTGTATAAAATATATTTTTTAAATTCCCTTTATTTTATTTATGTTAGTTCAGAGCTTTAAATGTAATGCCATTATATTACTCGTCAATCCCCGGCATAAATCGAGGGCTACTTGTAGTTGGGTGCAAAATCATTTTCACCCTGAAAGTGGAGGTGATACATTTCTTTAAAATGTTGGTATTCATCTACATTATCACACATCACAACAACCCAAAACACTTCTATCAACATAGGTGGTATGTTGTTAGAAGAGAGAAACAATATTAAATTTGTTCTAAAATTGAAGAGATGCCATTGGCAATTGCAGAATATTTCAGTAAGAGGGGACAGTGAGTGGAATATAGATTTCTGTGTTTATTAAGCAAGTTTAAAATGGGAGAGAAATGTTATTTGTGTCCAAAATATCTGGTCATCCAGCTACTTCATGAACTGATCTCTATGTGGAAAAAGTGTCTGAAATCGTGACAGTGATTGTTTATTGACTGTTGGAAGACAGGTGCAACAACATTCTGGGTGTTGATTTCATGTATAGATTTTTCTTATGTATAACACTGTATAATAACCTGAATGTTTCAGTGCACCAAGATGAAGAAATACCAGTAAAGAACCCTCCTCTTTTAATATGCAATGCTTTAAAACCAAGAAAACTGGATGGTGATGAAATCAGGTGTGCTATAGCTGTATTTGAGCCTGAAGATCCTTCTAAACGTTTCATGTACTGCAAAAATAAGGTACACAATTAAAGTTTTAATTGAATTTCTGCTTCTTCAAATCTACATTGGGGGAGGGGGGGGGTGAATAAACTGTAGAACAGATTCTGTTGACATTTTCACTCACTGGTATACAGTGATGGGTCTGTAATTGGGAACTGGAGAAAATGTGGGTGGTACTTGCAAGCATGCAACAAGTAGTGTTTCTTTCTTTAAAAATAAACTTGGTGTCATATTGCAATATACATAATCAGAAGTTAAGAAATGGGCTTGAAGATTATGTATTTAAACAGTTTTCATATATTATGATTACTGATCAGAATAAGCATTTTTACAAATCTTGTAAATTCCTATCGTATTAAGTTGTACTGTACTATATTTCCTTTTATATTTTTATGTTTGCATCTTTGTTTCTTTAAGAAATGGAATAAATAAACTCATTTACACCCTTAAATAATTTTGTTTATTTTTATATTGGTTGCTTTGTGTAGGTTTCTGTGTGTGTTTATTATATGTTTAAACCATAGTTAAATACATTATCCCCGTATTGTAACGTGTTTTCCGCTTCTCTTGTGTTCCTTCATCAAATCAAAACACCTTTAGTCTAAGTCCACATTACAGTTCTCTACAATTTTAAGCATAATGGAATCTTATAAAAAAAAGCCAGTTTGTTTATTTACCAATTTTAATTTTTTGGAGTTTTTCAGTCACCATTATGCTTCCTTAAAAACCAAAACCCACTGCATTTCAGGAGATGGCTTTTGCCTCATCCTCAGGTAAACCATCTCCCAAAAGTCCAAAAAATTGAAATTGATAATTCAACACCATCAACAATAACATTTTAGAGACAGTTTGTTTATATGTTTTGTGCTCACAAAGGACATATTAAAATTTGTAAAGACTTGGGTAAAATGTTAATGTAACATGGATGATATTTTTCATTGTTCTCCTGTAATGCATATTTTGAGTGACATCTTTTTACCTATAAAGTGTTTTAGATTTATATTACAGAGTGATGTATTAATTGTTATGAGGATGTGGTAGCAAAGAAGGATGTGAAGGGTCAGGGAGATAAGAAAATAGAAGAATGTGATTGAGAGATTGGAAGAAGTTATTTGTCATTGAATTTCAGCAGTTTTTGTATGTTAATGCAAATAATGATAGAGTTTAATAACTGTACAAGCTTTCCCATAAGTCTGGAACCATAGACAGTATTGGAACTTTCAGATAATTGTCAAAAAAATGCTCATTGTATCTACCAGCCTCTGCAACTTTTCATTGACAGACCCTCACATAACATAATGACCGTCACGTTTTTTTTATTCAGTGGTATTACATCTATGACATGTAGAAGATACATGTAGCCTGTGGTTCAAGATGCGTGAGACACACTGGAGAGTGGTCACAGTCCACAACTCAGTATTACAGTTGTTTGCAGTGTATGCATTGTGCTATGTGTATAATAATGCCACAAAAATTATGTGAGGGTTGTGGTACTTTTAAGTATCTAAAATGTAACTCTAAACCCCCTCTGCCTGGAATGCCCATTTAAATTTGCAAATGTTTCCATTTCCCTGTCATTGGTACATGTTGATTTGTATTGAGCAATGAAAATTAGTATTTGGGGTCCGCAGTTGCTTGAAAATTCAGAGATAGCATTGTAATGTCATCTGTTTGTGAGTCCTTGAAATGTAAAGCTAGGTTATTTGAAATAATTTTTACTTGAATGTGCAATTATTTCTGCACCTTCCATTGGAATCACATGTGTTCTGTGTCTTATTTTATATTATTTGGTTTATTGTACAAACACATTTAGTCCACTCACTCAGTTGAATGTTTTTGTCTGCTATGCATTTTGACAGAAATTTGGAGTTGTGACTTCCAGCATTTATTTAGGATATTGTCTTAGAGTTTATTGTTTCTCATGATGCAAAGAATATTACTATGGTTCTTACAGGTATATGCTGGTGGATTAGAGTTCAGCTTTGAAGAGTTGGCTGCCATCGAATATTTTAAAGGTAACAGACCTCTGCGCTGTAAGAAAGGTAAGAACGGTAATATGTACATGAATAATGGTATTATGTCTTAATGCAGAAAGGAGTCTTTCCATTTTAATTTTTATAGTGATAATATTAACTCAAAGAGGCTGAAAGATTCCACCTCAATTGAATTTTATGTCTAGTGACAAACAGGTTTGGTTGTAACTCTGAGTGTACATACAGAAATTTTGTAAAAGACAGTAAATACAAATGTTTCATGTTTGAAGATTAGTATTTGTAACAAAGAAAATGCTTCCATGGTGGTCCTCTTAAGAGAAGGGGCACAACTGTTTAACATACAGTAAGGAATAGCAGGCTAGAAATATATTAGTTTTTATTTTTTGTGTAATGGCAGTTTACTTTATTTGGTGTATAACATTTTATGTTTGTGTGTGTTGAAGGCCAAACTTAAAAACTAATGGAAATATATATTCAGATATAGAATTTGTAACAATAACTGTCAGATTTACCATAAAAGTAGCAGAGTCCAAAAATGTTAGCTTTCGCGGTGACTGAAGTTGATGAAACAAGTTACGTAGCAGCCCTGAAGATGAGAACAGAGATTGCTCTCAAAATGTTTGCAGAATATATGGTTTATTCATCATTCAGCCACCTAACGCGGCTTGTAACCTGAGAGTGTTTCATCAAAATCGAGATGTATTTAGTTTGTGTGTCCACCTATTTTTAAATATGTTTGAGCAGAAGAAGAATTTATATGCAATGTATTTTTATGATTTTACAACATGATTTAGAATTTAAGGTTTACTTGCGTCATGTTTGTGTTTTTTGATTAAAATATATAATAAAATTATTCAGTTATATTAGAATATTTACCATGCTGTTTTTATTTAATTTGTGTATGCATAATTTTAAATATACCTAATTTCTTTACCTCCTATTAGTAAATGTGATTAACCTTTGATCTCTACTCTGTAGAAGCCTGCAAATCAGGTAGGCCTACTGTCCACAGACCAGGAGAAAAGCCCTGCGGGGGGGAAGTCGTTTCTGGGGCGGTGCAGGGGGAATGTTTACTATCGAGTGGACTAGAGGGCTGCTATTGGTGGGAAGTGTGATACATCAGAGTTTTACACTACTACACACAGACTGAAAACATTAAGCAGTTAAGAGTAGCGTGTAGTGAGTGCACCTCTAATGTGTTCTGTGGGTGTTGTGATAATATTCTAGATTAAATCACTGTGCTAGTGTGAGATAATCTTAAAGCTTAACCCATTAGAACACATGGAAGATCGTCTGTTGTTCGTTCAGTGGTTGTGGAATGAATGCTTTTAGGATCGGTCGTCACTCACCGCAAAATCTTGCGCATGCGCGTATGTCGAATTCCTAGCAGGGATTTTCTCCTGGTCTGTGGACTGTACTTGCCCATGCTTTCCTACTTTGGTCACCATTTTTACTTATTCTGCACATTATCTTTGTCTAAAAGCCTAAGGCAAAGTTTAAACAGATGGATCCTTGTTTCTTGTTTTCAAGGTGGTAGTTTGCATGATGAAGTATGTGACCAGGAGGATGAGCTCAGTTGTCCAATAGCATTATTTGAATCTCCTAATCCTGCCAGGAGACCAATGTACTGCAAAGGCAAGGTGAGGCAGTTTGAAGTGATTGAAAATTATATATTGCAGAGTGACTTGCACATATTACATTTTCGGAGAATAAAACTTTAGAGTTTTGTTTCGAGTGGTGTGGTCCCTGGTCCACTCTTTTGAAAATGTTAATATATTTGATTCTTACAGGTGTATACTGGTGGAACAGAGTTCAGCTTTGAAGAATTGCGTGCATTTGAATATTTGAAGCGTAACAGACCTAAAAGTTGTAAACAAGGTAAGAACAGTAATGTAAACAGTGACAGGAGTGTTTAATTTTAATTAGAGTAGTCAGTCTTTCTTTTAAAATGATGTGTTGACACTGTCAGCAATAGGATGGAAGATTCCATGGTAGCTGGTTCTCCTGTTCTACAGCAAATCTGTCACTCTGACAGATACCACTCAATATAATGTTTCCAGAGTGCTATTTGAAATTATTTGTTAGCTGGCTGGAAGTGATGAACCTCTGATGCCAGGAATGATTTTATGGCATGCTTGGCCTGGCTGTGGAACATTAAGTATTGCATCTATTTGTGGATGTGTTGTACAGATAAGCACATTGTTACTAACCAGTCTGGAATTGTCTCATATTTGTATTCATTTCAGTTCCAGACTCAAGTTAGTTTTGTAACAGTGTAAAGAGAGAGAGCAGTGGAGTGTGTATGGTTGGTTGTAGGCAAGGCAGTTTTTGCACTACTGAGCTATCAGACTGTAAGGATATCATAATAATATGGACTAATATTGATGTTGATGAAAGTTTAGATGAAAATGAGTGTCTGTTTTGTCCATAAAGTGTGCTTTTTCCTTGGGCAGCTTGTACAGAAGAGTGTGAAACTGACAGTGAACCAACTGTTGCAAAACTGTATGGGGAACAGTTCAGTCTGTTTGTTGGTGCTGGTGGTGCAGAAGATGCTGGATTTGGAACAAAATCCCATGTATTGGATGCTGAAAATGCAGCTCCTGAATGCCCTAAGCTATTAGGGAATCAAAGTAACTGGATCAGAAATGGTGATGAAAATGGTGGCATAACAGCTGCATCATCAGACGTGTTGTCAAAGCTGTCTCACATGAAACCCTTACCTGTAAGTTTACAACAGGAAAATCATGTTAACTATATCTGAATATAACCCAGATGTTGAATACTGATCTTATCAGTGCCTGCACTTAACCTGCTTGAATCTAATTCACATCCTTGTGGCCTATTTATGTGAGATTATTTTAATATACATTTCTTCTTTTGTCTGTTAAGTAACTTTTTTCTAAGGGGTTTCTACCGAGTCTACAATTTATGAGACTCTGGGCGTGCTCGGCTGGCGCTCTGTTGATGTGGGCGGGACTTGTGCGCTTTCTTCCCATGAGTCACAGGCGAATCAGTTTCAGTGCCGCTAGTAACAGCGAACTACGAATATTTCTCGTCACTGATACATGTTATTACATTAATTGTTCTTACCTTAAATCATAAAAGATGTTCAAAGTGACTTCCTTGTGCTTGCAGGCAAGCTTCACATCTCGTTAACATGTTTTGAAATACTCGACATATTTTTTGCACATTTCTTGTTTTCTCCATGTGTATTACATGTCCGGCAGAACATAACCTCTTTCATATGGTCATCCTACCACTAATAAGTAATCTCAGAAAGTCAAATTTATTTTTGTGAAATATCCTCTAGTCTGTACACAATATCGAATGTGAAAATGAGAAACAAATCTGGAAACCATTTGTCACTGCATAATTTTTTCCACTTTGCAAGTCACATACCTTCATATTTCATTCTAAAGTTATGAAAAAAATTCTGTATATCACTCATTTCATTCTAAGGTATGAAAATGCCTGCAAAAAAAATACCACTCATGCTTTACATGAATAGCACTAGGAATAAAATCCAAATTGGATGGGAAGATATATTCTGAGTGGTTCAATAAGAATTTTTCTGTCATTGCTATACATCATCTATGGCATGGTCTTGCAGTTTATGAATATTAATGTATAAAACACTTTCGCATACCAAATAAACATGACAGAAGTGACATGAATACTTGTAGTTATAAGTCGGTAATCAGTACTTCCCATACAGAAGTGACATGAATACTTGTAGTTAAAAGTTGGTAATATGTACTTCCTAGTTGTCAGGGAAATTATTAGACTTGGTTTGTCATTGGACTAAAACATCATTTTTCTATGTCAGACCATCTTGATATCAGCATGAACCTAACATGATGTGCAAATTCAAGGAAAATGTCAAGTTTCAGGAACATAAAACCATCTGAGGTTTAACAGTGTTTTTATAGGCATTTCATCAGGGCATCTAGAGTGTAAAACTGAATTTTCACTAAAAATACATACCAAAATTTAAAATGGCTGGTATAAAAATCATGAAAGTTATAGGAACTTTTGCATTAATTGCTGGTGACTAGATTTATGATAGTTAAATATCAAGTTAATTGAAATCCAAAATGGATATTGAAGAAAAATGTTTTGTTGTGATGGATTTCTTCTCTAAAACTCAGTATTAATTAATGTACAGAGTTTAATATTTAAATTATTTGTCTTCAAGCTTTCAGATCCGAATTTAACTAAGGAATAGTTGTGTATAGATTGGATATGTAATTTTAGTATAAAATCCATTTTAACTTTATATTCATGTTGCATTAGACCATTATAAAATATTCACAGAATTCCAGGAGGATTCAATAGAACATATTCTGTAAAGCACTTAAGCATGTGACTTTCTAATGTAATATATATGATAATAATTATATATATTATTGTTCTACCAGACGACAGATTCATCATATGACAGTGCCAAGATGCCAAATGAGGCAAGTGACCAGTCTTTAAGTCATCAGTCCCTCACTTATCACACTAAGGAAGCAATGAACATGATCCATGAATTTTGGACCACGCCAGAGAATACGAACCTGCAGTGTAAGTGTGTCAGTTTTTCATAATGACTAAGCGTGTCTGAGAGTAAAATTCTTACTTTCATACTTGTCAAATTCTAAATGAAATAGTCCCTATTTATTTTTCGAATTGTATGGAACCCTTAAATGCAATCTGTGGACATGATGGTTAGTTGCTGAATGTTGTGGTACATATAGTTACCACTTGACATTAAAGGTTTGATCTTTATCATATGGGAATAGGAAATTTAAATCTTTATACTGTGATGCTGCCTGACAGACTTAACTAAAGGGTTAGCAGTTTAGCGATATTGTAGTATGACACATGGCAAGTTGGACTGTGTGCAAGCTATGACATGCAGTTGATAAAAATTACCCTCAGGCAGTTTCTTCATTTCAGGTTTCCTGGCCCTTTTTTTTTTATATCTTTGCCATGCATGTCATCTCATCCTCCTTAATTTGACTACTTCAGTGTTTGACAGAGTGCAGATTGTGAAGCTCATCCTGGAACTTTGCTATCCTCCTATTTATTTTTCTCTCTAAAGTCACTAATATTCTCCTCAGTACATGTTCTCAAATGCCTTTCATCTATATGGTAAGTAGCTGAATATGTGTGAAATTGTTGGTTTATGGGTGGTACAGTATAACTTGGAATTTACTCTGTCAATTTAAGCTGTTTTGTCTAGTGGGATACATTTATTATATTTTGTGGAGGAAATTATTGTGTTAGTTACACTAACACTTTGCATGTATGTGAGTAATTTATTTATTTAAAATTATTCATTGTCAGGACTTCTTCCATCCGAAATGCCGTGGTTTTAAAGAACAGACGATGGAAAAAGTCCTGACAATGAATAATTTTAAGTGTAAACTACTGTCATCAAAACCCTTTAGAATTGAATTTATTTATTTCTTTTATGATTTATTTAATGAAGTTGTCAACTCCATAATATGCACTCTTCACCAAATATTATTAGGATGATCAAATCTAGGAGGATGAAATGGCCGGGGCCTTGTTAATTAACTCACTCTTAACATATGTATGAACAGTTCAAAAGTCAATGGGTGCAAGCCATTAATCTTATCTCAAAGAGAATAATGTTAATTTAGCTATGCATGTAAAAGTTTAAACATTTCTGGTGGCTGAATGCAGTGCAGTCTTTTTGGGTGAACAACCTTGATGATGAACATTGGATTGGAACTCCATATTTGCATGGTTGATCATGTAAGAAGACTGCAATGCTCCACAAACTGAAAAAAATTAATGATTCTGACTTAGAGTGACTGGCTCCTGAACTGTCAATATAGCATAGTTTTTTGAAATGTGTCCATTGTTGAAAAACACCTAACTTGTACAATGTATATTGATGTTGGTATGTTCTTTATATTTGTAGATAATATGAGTCATGCAGATGGTTTTGATTCCAAGAAGAAAAAGCTTCTGTCTGAGTATGATGTAGATACGCAATGTTTACATCCAGAACAACCTAAAATAAACATAAATCCATTTGAGATCTTCAAGGATGAGAGTGAAGCTCAAGAAGAAGGAAAGAATTATAGTTTTTGTGCATCACAGCCAGAGAGAAAAGCTGGCAATTTTGGTATCTTTAGAGATGAAACAGAAGTTATGGGACAGATGCAAAATTGTTCAGGTAACCTGCCAGTTCCTGCACAACAGAAATCACAGTTTGGCTGGACTTTTGGAGACAATGTTCAAATTTTGCATAATGAGAGGAGAGAGAACCTGATATCGGAACCAACAGAAGCTATAAATGAAAATTGCCCATTTAATTATTTTAAAGATGAAAATATATCTCCAGATACAGGTAATGACAGACCTTATTGCCCCCATATTTATAATTGTAATTGTGAGGACACTCTGAATTCTAAGAGTGTTCCTTGCAGTCACATCAAGAATACAGTTTATTCACCAGTTTCTTTTGGTAAGTGGGACTTTATAAGACCCTATGAAAGATTAGGTTATGTTCTTCAAGTAGGACATATCAGAAAATGTTTAAACTTAATTATATCAAATACAAATGCATGATCCATATTTATACAAACATAGCCACATTTTAATACCAGCAGCTCTAATTTTCAGGCTAAATAAGTGGTAAGAGAGCGGAAAGGTATTCTCAGTTTCTTGCACCATGACCATTAGCTGATTTTTGTGCTTCCCCATTTTCCTAATCTGCCAGTAGCCCTGCGTCTACAGCAAAGCATCGTATCCTACTCAGTGAGATGATAGTCACCTAGTTTCAGGAAATGCCTGCTCTAAAGGAAAAATCGCTAAAAGAGCTCTTTTGTTGGTTGTTGTAATCAAGGCCCTGGTCTCGTAGAGTTCTGGTTCTTGAAGAGGATTGACCTCTTTAATTAGGGTATTGCGCTTAGACCCGGGCCTTATAGGCACCCTGGTCAGGGCTTCCCTGGACTTGAGGTTCAGGAAAGTAGGGGTTATAGTGTACTAATATTAAATTTGCCAAACAATTTTTATTCTTAAGTGTTATTTCAAAGATTAGGACAGTTATCAACTTTCATTCTTTATTTCTGTTATACACATCATGCAAACACCACAAAGATATACTATAATTCATTTATGTTGTTCCCAGTTTTGTTTGGAAAATAAAAAATGAAGAAAACGTGTTTTAGGAAAATTGTTGAAATCGCCTTCTTAAGCCATTATGTGTCTTTTATACTGGGCAATACAGTATTTAAAAAGAAACTTGTCATCTACATACTCGTAAAGTCACTATTACAGAGGTGTATCATAATTTGGATCTAAACAACTCAAAGTTATTAGTATAAACAATAGTTTTGCAATGTAATAGTATAAACAAAATATGCTGATCTACACATTAATGTCTTATGGAGGAAGCACGAAACAGCAGTACAAGAACAGTTGTTTTAGTGGTTAGTACTTTTTTGCTTTTAAAACAACTAATGTTTGAATTATGGCCACTACTTTCAGTTTATGTGCCATTTCTGAGCTACAGTTTGAATCCATGTTATTAGTTTAGCTCAAACTTTAAAAAAAACATTTACCAAATTCAGAGTGTGATTTAAAAGACTAGCACAAATGTAAAGGTGAGTTCTTCATGACAAGGCAATGAAGAAAGTTCATATGAACATCTTCTTTCTGAGCTACAGCCCTCGTTTGCTCTTTTGAATGTCTGTGATGGCGTCATACTTTTGTTGCTTTCTCTCCGTGCTTAGAACAGGTATTTTGTAGCAAGTACTCAAAATATATATTTGCAAGTTACGTTTCTGGAAAACTGCCAAAAGTTCATCTGCTTGTGCCGAGCGTTCTTGGCACGCTGTACCTCTCTCCGTGCACATCACTAAGTGTGGGGAGGAAGCAACAAAAGGATGCTACCACCTCAGATATTTTGGGAAGGAAAAGAGGGCTGTAACTTGGAAAGGAGGTTTTTACAGAACCATGTTAATGTGAAACATTTTTATTGTTTTCATTGTAGAACTCACTCATTCATTTGTCCCAGACCTTACACTCTGTGTTCTATGTTCAGTAGAAGGCATCCCATTTGTACCATCTCCAGGCATGACTGAAGAAGAGGAGAATGCCCTAAAGGGTACAGAAATGAAGGAAAATATTGCACCTGAAGATTTTTTTGCCCCGAAAGCTGAGAAGAGGAAAATGGCAGGCTTTCTGCAGCCATCCACAGATTTACCTTGTGATCCTCTGGATGATCCAGCATTGCAAGGGGTATGATTTGTTGCACTAATAGCTTCAGTTTTAATATAGGTTATTTAGCTAAGCAAGGAATCACTTGTAGCGTTTGGGTCTGAAAGGTCTTACTACTAATCACAAAAGCTCACTGACCAAATCTGAACCACAGTCTGGCTTGCAGGAAATGATGTACCCCAATTTTCCTTGTGGCAGGTACATTTCCATTTCTAGAAAATGTATTGCTTAATGTAAATGCTGTATGTCTTGATTCTGTATACTTAATGAATTTGGGTTTTTGATATGAAAGTACTAAATTAAGATACAGGCTAGTCTTAACAGAAATGCACTTACGTCATTGTAGAAGGATGGCTATGACTAAGTGCATTCCTTATAGTAGGCAGGTTGATGACAAGCAGTGTCAGTTTCCTGTTACATTTTAATACATATCTGGTTTTATTAAATAACTTTTTCATTGTGTATTCCTTTCCTTCAGTAAAACAACCCAGAAGACAGAAATCTTCATACTCGCCGCTGTGAAAACCTCAAATCATACATAAAACTAATCATGATCTGATATATTCTGTTTTACTATCAACCTTTTATATTTCATTCATACATTTTGTGTGTGTATATGCATGTATGCAGTATAACTTTGAAATAATTTATCTGGTTCTATATATGAATGTTTGAAAGTGGCTCAGGGCTGTGAAGAGGGGTTGGATAGGCCTATTACACAAGGGGCCCTTGTGAATGGATGTAACTCAAGACGCAGATGACACTGTGAATTTTATTTGCTAACAGGAGCTTCAAGAGTCTGAGACATGCAACAGCAATGTTACTTGCTTTACTCAGGCTTTCTCCTGTCCTTTGTTTTCCTCGACACCATCTGTGGGGAAATTTAAACAGCTACATGGCATGAACACAACTGAGTCTTCAGCAAAATCAGAGTATTGGCAGTAAGTATCTATGCATAATACTGTTTTATATTGTAAAACTCTGAAATTTGAACAAAATCTGAAATCCATTTTTTGTTACATAGTTTTCAAGCACATATGATCTGTATTCTTTTTGATATTTATCAATACAAATTTATTGTTAATGGAATGGATCAACAGTAGAGATACCACAATAATCATAAATTGTTACAGATCCAGTAAACAGTAAGAGATATACTGCATAGAGATTTAAATTATTTTTCCCTGGTATGTCTAAATGTACAATATATTAAACAATGCTTCAAGTAAAGTTTTAGATATTAATTAAATCTATAGTTTGTTTATTAATCCAATTTTTGTAGCATAAAGAGATTTTATATAATTCAATTTGGGCTTCATGTAACATAGGGCCTGTAGTGGACTGATGTAGTGTTTTGTTTATTTTTATTAATAAATGTCTCTATTGAACACAATATTCTGGACAGGATTTTTGGTTTTCATGGTGGTCAAAAACCACCATGAACACCAAAAATCTCATATCATAAGCTTTTTCAAGATTCTGTTCTCCAACAAAACAATGAACTTAATCAGGAGAATACATAGAGACCAAAAAGTCTTTTATTATGTTCAAAGGGAGATGAAGCAAATAGCTTTCAGTATTACTATGCCACATTAAATTCCCAAATAGAATGTCTTCTTCAGCCATCTTAGCTTCCCAAAAATCATACTGCAAACATAAATTATTGTAGAGGAAACTGAGGTACTGGTACATATGGCCCCAAAGGTACAGTGAAGGAATTTTTAAACATAATTGTAAAATCACAGACTGTTCTTCAGTCAGTAATATACTAAACACAGTAGGGCACCGCATATACAGCGGGTTAGAGACCAGACCCCCGCCGAACAGCGAAAATCACTAAAAAGTGGATCTTTGCCTTTTTTCACTTGCAAATGCATATCAACTCTAATAAGATGTTTACACTATCATATAGTAAGTGCACAATAACGCTAGTCCTAAGAAAACAATATGAAAGTAAAATGAATATCAGTAGTACACACATTGCTTACCTTAAAATATTTTCTTCCTCAGCTTATAGTGATTGGTGAATATAAATTTTAAAATTAATATGTTTATTGTAGGAAGGATGAAGGAGATGGTACATGTTCATCATATGACTCTTCAACAAATCTTATTCGTTTTGGTGATGGTTCGGAAGCTCTTGCAGGGGTTGGTGTTGCTGATAAAGTTGGAATTTCTGCAGTTGAAGATGGGGCTGGTGCTTTCTTAAAGTATGAAAGCAATGAGCTTTGCCTCATAGAATGTTGTTTCATTTCCCTTAGAATTTCCTTATAGCATGCAATACCATTTAGAAGTGTAGCATTGACTTTAGAACTTCACAAAAGCTGTAAACAGACTGAATCAACGACGAGAAAATGGCGCCGGATGCACTTCTCTGACTCAGCTGTTGAGCACGTGGGGCATATGCACGCAATTGAAAAGCGCCGTATTAGCGGATCGCTGAAAAGCGGGGCCCTACTGTAGCATAATTCAAAAGTTTTGATATTTCTTCTACATGTAGTTATGTTTGAGAAGAATCTGATTTGAGATAAGTTATATGAAAATTTTCAGTACATATTTGGCTTTGCCTTCCAGGTAACACCATATTCTCGTCTATGAATCACTGGTTCCTAACAAGTCAGCACAAGAAAGGAAACAGTTGAAAATTTATAACTGTAGCATGCCAAAGTCTGCTTTCGATAATTCATTTCTTTCCTGGCTAAAGCAATGAACATTACATACTCAGTGATGAAATTAATTGCCATAGTAATGCAACCAACAATAAATTGTATGATATTTACATGTCCAAAGTGCGTAGCCATTATTGCAAGCAGTTCTTTCTACGGTTCTAAGATAACTAAAAAACTTTCTCACTGAGTATTTTATTTTACAGGTCTGATGAGGTTGGTACTCATAGAAGTGCTGGATCTGCTACTCAAACAGCAGAAACCTTAGGCATAATCATGGAGACAACAGGATCCTGCAAATCCAGTAGCTCTTCCAGTAGTGGTGTGGCAACCACATGTCATACAACTATACTTTCTCAGGAGAACTGTACAACAGGCAGCACAAGAAAGAGTGAAAACATTGATAAGATTAGAAGAAATTCTGAGCAGCAAATAGACATAGCATATAAATCGCAAGAGAATCCCAGTGTTCAGGAGGTGCTTGAACCGAGTCAGCATTGTTCCAGCGATAATTTTATTATCAGGACCTTTGAGTCACTTTATTACAAAACGGAAAATATACATCACAGAAGCAGTAACAGCAACTACATGATGGGTCAGAGTCATCTACCAGAAGAGCCAGACCCTTCTCAGAAGGTTTATGGGGTGGAATCTATAAAATCATTGTTACAGGAAGAAGTAGACTTGCATGAAAAACAGAATAGAGTTCAGGGATGCCAGCAGATTACAGGAAATAATTCAGGATTTTCTAATAACTCTACAGTACTGGGATCAGAACTTCAGGATGATGAAATTTTGTTAAGAAGTGAACAAGAAAACTTGTCCCATGCTAAAGTAGACCACAAGAGAGAGAATGAAACTGATGGTGGGGCCAACAAAGACAAATCTTCAAGAACACAAGAAAATTCTTTGACAAGAGAAGTGTCCATGCTTAATCTTGAAGGACACAAAGATATTGATCCATTTGATCATACTTTAATTCAGCAGTTGCTTACTCATTTAGGGTTTCCAAAGGCTGAGGATAGTGAGCACTACGTAAAACTCAATGTGCCAGTGCCACGATTCAAAATTGGGGGAACTGTTACTCTAGGTAAGTTCATACTTTTATATGCTCTTTGCAGCTTTTAGAAGTGTATCTTTGTTTTGCATTTGGTTGTTATTTAACATTATATTATATAATTTTCAGTGGACACGGGTATGACAGTAACAAACTGAAACATTATTCATGATGAAATTATGAGCAGATATATTTCTGATATGCATGTTAACATTTAGAATATTTTACTTTTCACCTCATGTTTAAAAACCAAGTATTAAAATAACAAGTTTTCTGAGTGACAGATATGTTGCATTCCAAAATATTTTTTTGTGGTCCTTTGTTCAAACTTGGAACTTGACTTTCCATAGGTATAATATTAATAGTTGTTAGGTTCCTATGACACTCCACAATGAACCATGAACCCATGATTGAGCTGAATAGCAGTAATGTAACAAAACAAGTCTAAATTCTAGTAGAAGTAGGTGTGGGTGTTTGCATGGCATGCATACTATACCCTTCCCAAAACAAAGGTAAATGATGTTTGCAATATAAGTATAAAAGTTATAACTAACTAACTAACTAACTAGATGGCTTACCGAACCCGAAGGTTCATCACCGAATTAACCAAAGCCCTCCACCGGACCCTGTCCTGGGCCAACAAAATCCAGTTTCCTTCAACTCCTATCTCCCATAGATCCCGCCTGAGATTATCCTCCCATCTTCGTCTAGGTCTCCCCAGCGGTCTCTTCCCTTCAGGTTTCCCAACCAGTACCCGGTGCACACCTCTTGTCCCATCCATGCGCGCTACATGTCCCGCCCATCTCACTCTTCTCGACTTAATCACCCTCACAATACTGGGGGAGCAGTACAGATTTTTAAGCTCGTCATTGTGCAGTTTTCTCCACGCCCCATCGTCTTCCCTCTTAGGCCCAAATATCCTCCTCAACACCCGATTCTCAAACACCTGCAATCTGTGTTCCTCCCTCTGAGTGAGAGACCATGTTTCGCACCCATACAAAACAACAGGCAAGATTATTGTTTTGTATACTTTAATTTTCAGGTTCTTAGAAATCAGACGGGAAGACAAAATATTTTGGACTGAGAAGTAGCAAGCATTTCCGGCATTTAGTCTCCTCCTAACTTCCTCACAAGTATCATTTTGATTTGTTATTGTTGTTCCCAAATATTTGGACTTTGTAACCCTTTCAAAGGATTTATTAGCTACCCTAAGATAATTTTGCCCGCCTGTCTTCTGATGACGAGATACTAACATGTACTTAGTTTTTTCTGAATTTACTTCCAGCCCCACTTGTCTACCAGCCTCTAGTAAAACTTCTGCGTTCCTCTTTATTGTATTTATATCGTCCCCCAATAAATTAACATCATCAGCATATGCCAATAGCTGATGTGTCCCGTTCAATTGCAAACCCTCCTGCCTACCTTGGACCTTCCTGATGGCGTATTCTAGCGCAAGTATAAAAGTTATAAAGAGGAAAAATAATACCTAATACAGAATGCATTAAAAGGGTATGTGCACATTTTTTATTATATCAAGGAATCTACCCTTGCAAATATAGAGGTATGGCTGTCCTAATTTATGATGAAAAATTTAGATTAACAAGTGAAAAATATTCTACATTATGTGCATATTCTGTGACGTCCTGTTTGTGATTCCATTTAGAATAAATAATTTTATTTATAAAACAGACATATGTATTGTATGAAAAACTGTGATGATTTCTTAAACACGGCCGATCTTGCTTTTTGTACAGGGAAAGATAAGTTCGCCATCGAGAAAATTCTAGGTGAAGGCAGCTATGCAAAAGTGTTCAAGGCTACAGATATAAAGACACAAAAAACTGTGGCATTGAAAGTTCAGAAACCAAGTTGGGAGTGGGAGTTCTACGTCTGTCGTCAGTTGCAATCCCGCCTGTCTGATCCACTCTCAGTAAGTTGATTCTTGTGGAATGTGTGAGTGTTATTTATGATAGTTTAAAACTGTTTCTCACTCTTTTCTATTCAAAAACTTTGCTTTAAGTAACTCCAGTGTGTGGAATTTTCATTGAACTGTTCATAGTTATTTACCTAATCAAAAAATTTTCCTGTTGTGGAAACTGGAGATTCAAGATTCGTCACAAAGGTCACTCAGTATTCAACTGTATCCTGTGCCATTTCATCAAAATTCATGTTTTAATAAACCAATACTATGAAAGTTGTAATATTTCCATTTATGTTAGGGTTTCAATGGTATTGTGTTCCAATCAGGTTTACAAAGCTGAGTCTTGTATTAATTTCTTTCTGTGAGTGCTACATGCAGTTTCCATCACATTATTTTTTTTAATTGCCTTCAGAATACTAGGTAAAGAACTTGAAGTCTGAAGCTTCCCATTATGTAACCTTCTTCCATTTCCCTGTTATATCATTTAAGGACAAAAATACCTCATTTCTTTGTTTTTATAATGTCCATTGAGAGCCAAAGCTGACTAGCTGGCTGCTGGCCTCACATTCACATGCCTAAGCAGAGGTGAACGATCATCCAACCAGATATAGGGTGATGTGTGGTCAGCATGACAAACTCCCAGTTCCTTAGGGTGAAAGGCACTATAGAACAAGAAACTCTGAAGTACACGCCCATCACATATTTATACCTCTATGTCTGTCCCATCCTTTTCCCATGAGTGTTCTACTTCGGAACATTTTCATGAATGTACAGTTATAACTAAATTTAATATTGTTTTCTGAAGGAAATGGAGAAACTGTGGTTTAAATATGGCTATTAGATCTCTATATCTCTTTATATACCGTGCCACGGTGGTCTAGCGGTTAGAAGGCTGGCCTTGTAATCCTGGGGTCTCGGGTTCGATTCCCGGCGGTGCCCGAATTTATAACTTGTGTTGGGCAAGGCCTTGGTCTAGGCAACACAGAGTTTTCCTCCGGGGGCTTCCCCGGTTTCTCCGTGGCATCCCAACAATTACTCCATTCACACACAGAAGAAGGCAATGGCAAACCACTTCTGGATCATCTGCCAAGAACGTATATGAACAGGTCCCAGTCCGAGAAAAGGATGGAAGGATCCTGTTCATATGGACCTGTCGTCAGACAGAACACTACAAATAAAAAAACAAAATTTCTTTATATAAATTCAGTTTTTTGTTCAGAATATTTAAAATGTTTTTTCACTCTGCAGAGACTGACTCAAATGAAATTGGTGTGTGTAACATAAGATTCTCGCTATAATTTTTTTTCGTAACTATTTACAATTGAACCTCAGAATGTATTCTGCTTTGCTTCTTGTAATGGGTATTATGTTTATTTGATATCACATTGTTATGAACTATATGTTGCAGGCATTGGCATTTATGGATGTCCAAATGGCATACACATTGAACAGTGGCAGTATAATGGTGACAGAATATTCTCATTATGGATCCCTACTTTCTGTAATCATCAAATTGAGGCAACAGTGGGTAAGCTAAGCAAGTTCAAACGTGACTTAAAACAGGGTTAAAATAATTCTTAATGTCAAAATAATTTTTCTTTCCCTTATGTTTAGAATTCCAAGATATTATTCTGCCTGTGGGTTTGATCACAATTTGCATAATCTGACAATAAGTGAGATTTGAGGTTCTCATGGTGGTAAATTTGAAGATGGCTGTCTTCTGGGTTGTTGTGCTGCGTAGTCTGACAGAAGAGGACTGATGTTTTAGAGGTGCTTGCTGCCTTCATCATCAGAGCATTAATTGAGGCAGCAAATATCGGTAGACTTCTACCAGACTATAGGGAGCAACAAGCTAGAATAATTCCATCTTCATTTGACAATATTTACTGTCAGCCATCTTATCATTGGTTACACAAAAATAAATTTTAATTGTGATCATGTCTCATATATATATACATATTGCAATAAGTGTCTCTCTCCCACCCCATCCAGCCCCACTCTATATTCATTTTCTGATCCTGTCTTATGTGTGTTTTATCTTAATTTCAGGGAACTGGCATTAATAACCTTTAGATAATTAGTCATTGGCTTTCAGTTCACAGTATGCAATGAACATTGTATTTTCTTTGTGTCCAATTGAGCAGTCTGTACCTGAAAACCTGATGCTGTACTGGATGTCAGAACTGCTGCTCATTGCTGAGAAGCTGCAGGAGTGCCACATTATCCATGGGGATATTAAGCCAGATAACTTTGTACTGAGGAACCTGTAAGTTCCAAATTTTGCTTAAGTGAATCCTTTTGTGTGAAATGTATTTATCTCTGATGAGACTGTATTTGGGATTGAATTGCTCCTAAAATAATGTTTTGACAGTAGTATTCTGAACAGCATAGCAGATTTATGATCACTGAAAAATTGGTTGGTAATGACTTCTGGTTTGGTGTTACTTGAACAGTACATATGACCAGTGAAAAGTCTGGTTAGAATTACTATTTCATACAGTGAAGTGTCTAGCATAATTTAGCATTCAACTTATGTTTTTATTATAGTCTAATTTTCCCAGTTTTGCCACATCAGTCCACTAGTAAAATAATGTTGGTTTGAGAGCAATGTGAAAATAATTCATGGCAATGTTCTGATTTCAGTAGTTGGCTTCAATATATTCCAAGTACAGTAATACATAGAAGAACTTTCTTGTAGAAGAATTTTACTCTAAATATATATTTTTATGTGATGTAATTTACTTCTTTGTTTCTACAGGCCATCCTGTGAGTCCAGACAGCCAAGCTTGCAGCTGATTGACATGGGACGAGGGATTGACATGACACTGTTTCCTGAAGGTACCACATTTAACACAGTGGTCACTACAAAGGACTTCCAGTGCATTGAAATGCAGACCAAGCGACCATGGACATACCAGGTAACCATATGATTCTTTGGACTGTAAATTCATTGATCACAAAAATACATCTTATCTGTGGTGATATTGAATGAAAGATGGTAAATATAGTGTTTTCCAAAACATTGGGAATCCTTCAAAATTCAACACTGCTTATTCCCAAAAGCCAAAATCATTCATTAAATTGCAGTTGTGGAAACCTAAGGACAAGAATCAACTGTAGGTTTCTCTCGTAAACATTTTAATTGATCTCTTTCAAATTCACTTATAAAGTCATACAGTTCTACTCAGAGTCAAGGTTTCTTTCATTTCATGAGTAAGTGATACTGTGAATCATTATACTCTTATTTTTCTTTTATGTCTGTCTAACTTTATACACATCTTCAGGTATTTTAATGTGCTATCTGCCTTATACTACTCATAGTTCAATAGGTTCTTGTGGCAGTGGAGATGACTGTTGATCTTGTGGGTTGTAACACCATGTGGACTTGTAGTGAACCTTCAGCCTTGAAGATGGAGACAATGTTTTTCCCCAAAAGTTTGGTGTCTACTTACAAGTCCTCAACCCAGAAGGCCAACTTTAACACTTAATATCTTTTTGTCTACCAAAAACTCACACCACTTATAGTCACCTCTTATGAGAGTAGTTCCAATATTCAGTTTAATTTTTACTTTTTACAGACAGATCTGTATGGAATTGCAGGCACAATGCACTGTGTCTATTTTAGCCAGTATATGAAAGTTCACAAGGATAAGGATGGTCGATGGTTCATCCAGCAGTCTATTTCAAGGTAAGAATCTGCACTTCATTACAGGTTTCAAATTAATATGTGACAATAAGTAACAAGATTTAATTTTATTATGTATTGTGACATAGATGGCAACTACCGCTACTTGGGCTCAATGTCAACTGTGATTTATTTAGAATAAATCAACTTACAGAATCTACACACAGGCAAATCGGCACTCAGATCTGTTCACACATACTGTCTGTCGAGTTGTTCTGTTCTTAACCTTGGCACTTTCCACACACACAGCCCTCGGCTCTTCCCACACAGCCTTTGACTCTCAGCACCACCCTGGACACACGCTGGCTCCTCAGCCGCTCCGGTCCACAAACCCGGTGCTTTTGAATTTTTTTAACTTGGGCAAACTTCTGTGTAGTTTTATATGGATTCACACATTTGTCATGATATAGACCTTGACAAAGTGGATGTTTTTGTCAGTCATAGTAATGTGCAGAGTATCAATTTAGGCATCAAGAATGAATTTCCAACATTCCTGCAAATCTGTAGATCATGCAAACATCCTCCTGCCATCTGTGAACTTCAGCACTGCAAACTATATGAGAGAAATGTACCAGTTCCATTGTCATCTGGTACAACAATAATAATTAAATGCTTAAAATTCATTACATGTCATATGCAACAAGAGACTTATTTCATTGTAAGTGCTAAAAGACAAATTACTGAGTTCTCAGATTTATCAAATAATCCTGATAACTTTTTTCTTAAACAGTACCGTAGTATTTATTAACTGTTATCTTTGCAATAATATGGTACTTTGATTATATTAAATTATTTCTTAGATGGAAATGCTATAAAATGAACACTGAATTAACATTTAAAATTTATAGAATGTCAGTTTGTGAAGTACTGTTTTAATATTTACATTTTATATTGTGAGGCTCATTAAAGTTATACATGATATTGTTTTATTCAGGTACTCCAAACGGCACCTGTGGGAGCAGTTCTTCTTCACTCTTCTGAATGTTGAATCTTGTGAAAAATTACCAAACTTGTCCCAGCTTCGAAGTTTGGTTGATGCTGAAGTTTTAAGTAGTAACTGCGTTTCTGATTTTGCACCAGTGAGAATAATTCTAGGTGATAAACTGAAGAAATAGGTAAACCAATCATTACATTATGAATCTGTGAAAACTTAAAATGTTCAAAATGTGGATATTTTAGATTTTGTGAAGTGGTTGTCTTTATTTGGTGCAACTAATATATTCCCCAATTATCATTATATTCCTGTGGACTATCAATGCTCTGTACACCTCAGTCTGAGGACCTCCAAATTAGTGCATCGTCTTTATTCATAAAATACTGATGGTTTCATTATACATATTGCCTACACTTTAAATATGTTATGCAGTGGAATATTTTTAAAAAAGAAATGACATGATATTTTGTGTTTCCCTTCCTTATTTTGTCAAATTTGTATACATCTGATGCTCTCAGAATGGAGTAATGTCCCATTTTCTGTAACTAATACTACCAAAATAATATTGCATAATTACATTATGTAGTACTTGACTTCATGTGTGGTGTGTATTTAAATATCATTTTTATAAGTATTTCTGTGTGTTTTTTATATTTCATAATGCATTGTTTTTCATCATTGTACCTACATACTCATGAAATTGTGAATCTGAATAGCCTCTTGATGTTTGACATTTCTGAATACTGAAATCAAAATAAATGTTGTCAACTATTAGCATTTCATCTATGTGTTTTCTTAAGAAACCTAACTCTAAAACCAGTCCAGATTCTGAACATAAAGTCTTTTCCCATTGTCTTATTGCGCTATTCTCTGCTGACTAGGCTGTGCTGGTAGATTGCAGACATTACTTCAAACCCATGCAGTTCATAGATGAAAAATATTTCAGAGTAGGTTTTCTTGGAGTTCTGTCCATTCCTATACCAGTCATGCCACCATTTGCCTGTTATTCATGCATTACCATAAATATCACACTCAGCAGCACAGTGACTGGTTCCATATTCTCACAAAGAAAATGAAGTTTTATATCTTAAAATAGGCTACAGCTGCTTCTGACCAGATCCTTGATTCATCATTCACAATTATTATGTCCTATTTATATAACATGCAGTTAACAAAATCAAGCAACAAACTTTCATTCTTGTGCTGTCTCTTGTACAAGTTTGTCTAAAGTTTTCTCCCATCTTACCCTCCCCCGACACACCACCACTCATTTAAACTCCCTTACTAGCAATTTTCCTTCAATTCAAGTCATATTGTGTGCCAGTATTTGACATAATTTGTATCTGGTAAATAACCCTACAAACACACTACTATTTCATGCAAAAATTGAAGCAGTTATGAAAACATTGCTTATAGCAGCACAAGTACAAAATTAATAAATATGAGAAATGTATTTATATCTCTTTGTATGCTGGTCAGGGGTTGTTTCATCAGTAGAAGGCTAAAGGGAGAAACATTAATGTCAGGTAAGTGAAGCTGTCATAATTTTGGTTCAGATCTCATTCTCTGGCATCTGAACTTTGTTCTCATTTGTACCATGGTTAAGAACAGGCAGGTTACATGGCATATTTGACAATAACCAGAGCCTATCACAGCATATTTCTGGGAATGGAGCCATATTGAATCTGGTGGCATTAAGTAATTATCAGACACCTTAGATTTATGTTGTAAATTCTACTGTTTGCTAATTTTACAGTACATTTTAGCATCTACTTGTGTTTTTGCACTGCTTACTTTTCTATGAAACCATTACTCTTCACATGACTTGTTTCAGTGTTTTGTTGCAATGATTCTAATGTATTATCATATTATTTACTGGTGTTACATCTGAATGACATAATTTGACAAATATAGTCATATACAAGCTTACAGTGTACACTTCATAAACATAAGTTGCACTTATTTGTCACACACACACACATATTATATATACACAACTTCAAATAAGCAGAATAGAATTCAAATCATATATATGACAAATAAATGCAGCAGCTCACAGAAACAAAATACACAATGTGAAAAATCCTGTATTTGTTGCTAAATGTAACCCCATTGTGGCAGGACAATAACAGCTGTATCATTGTAGTTGGAGCACTCTAGTTTAGGATATTAAGAAACCAGAATCTTCCCAAATTTTTAGAGGACTAAACAATGTTTTGTACATTTCTATGCAGAAATGAAATTATTGTCCTGACGGAATGTAACTTATTAAAGAAATTTTATTCGGACAAATGTTTGCAGCGCTAAACTGTAAGTTTGCCGCAGTCCTCCTGTTGTTATCTTTGGTACAAAGACTACTATCCAGGGAGGACCATATTTACAAGTAGCCGTGCAAAAGCCGTAGATTCGTTGTTGAGTTTGTGCTCGATTTTAGCTGGTCTTATTATATGTTTGTAACATTCATTCATCTGTGATTAAAGACCAAGATCAATAAAGTTAACAAAATATAGATAGGATATGGAGTAGTGTTGTGCTTTACATATTCCCATCATTTTCATTTAGATTTTGTGATGGCGACGTGTGGAATACAAGTTGGTAATCCGACCATATTAAATAAAATTGAAAGGTAAACTGTGAAGTATATATCTTGATTACAGTAAATATACCTTGCCTTGGTAAATGTGTCTTGTGTAACGAATTTATTGTACTGTGAAACCGGTATCCAAATTTTCCATTGGAATTTCTTTATATTTGGGAGGTCCGTATCTTGTGGGTAGATACAGACGTTTGGGAGACATTTATTGCCTCCATCTTAAGCTCTATAGTCGAAAATGTGGAAGTACCTTCGAAACGTTGTTGCGAACGTGTCTACCTACAAACCCGCATTTGAACACATCGCGGATTATCAGTTTCTGTATAGGACACAATTGTTGGATTGTAAACTTCCTACCTGTAGATAATGAATTTAGTATTCTGTGAGTATGCCATAATATTTCTGTAGGTAAGTTTATTTTCTGGTACAAGTCCACAAACATACAAGGTGCTGTTTAAGTATTAGAAGGAAACATTGCCATAAATAAATCAGTTTTGGATTTTAGATAGAACACTATGTGGCTTTGCTATCTGATCTGTTGAAGATGATTTTTTAGATTATTTGATTATGCTATTTCAACCATACAGGTTACTCAGCATTGAGTGAGACATGAGGTGATCATTAATAAAGGGTAGAAGTGGTTTTCAGAGAGGTTGTTGTGGCTGGTTTGACACATGCTTGGAGAGAGAGCAAAGCCACAAAAATCTCAATCAGGATAGTTGGTAGACAAATTTTCCCCATGCACATCACAAATCTAAATCTGGAATGTTACCTCCACACAAACCTGTTTGGTCCAGGCAGGTTACTATAAATGTAAGACTTGAGGATCTCAAGATATCCGTCTTCTGGGTTATTGCGCTGTGTAGTCTGGTCGATGTTAACCAACGTTTCAGAGGTCATACTGCCTCCGTCATCAGGGCGATGAATATGCAAGAGTGCGCCGCCAGAACCAACCAGACCACTAACTCGGCCCTTTTCAGGGCCTTATCCATACAACCAAACTCACCTTTCTCTCTCTACTTTCTCTCCCTCTCCCACTCTCGCCCACGTGCTACCATTGGTCCACTCCCATACCTGCTCCCATTGGCTTGGGGCAGGCTACACCTTTCACTTCCCGGCCTATAAATCCAGCTCCTCACACCCTATTGGCATATTTATCGCCCTGATGACGGAGGCAGTATGACCTCTGAAACGTTGGTTAACATCGACCAGACTACACAGCGCAATAACCCAGAAGACGGATATCTTCTTACTATAAATGCTTTAGAAGTCAAAATATGTTTATATTTAAAGAAATTGTTTTATTTGACAAAGGTTAATTTTTATTTCAGTTTTCTCAATGATTCTTCATACCGTGAAGCAATTGAGAATTCTGCCAATTATAACACACGATTATGTATTGAGAGGAGGCTCCGAATGCCATTTTTGGATTCTCAGACAGGTAATGCACAAACTTTAAATTAACCCACTGGGATATTTTAGTTATAATTTCAGGCATTTCTTCCTACATTTCCCAAGTTTGAAAGCGATTGACAAACTTTATATGGAGATAAATCAAGTCATTAGCAAAGAATATTTCAAAGAATAAACAAAAAGTGTAGGAACAAAATATGAAAAGACTGTAAACAAGGCTTGTGGTGGGCTTTTGAAATTTTAGAATATAGGAAATGGGTTTATCCTTAATAGTCTACTTTTTGTTTGGAGATTCTAGGTTAAAAATTGCAATGAATACAGTGCAGTTTAGTTTATACTTCTCTTCATACTTAAAAGCATTTAAATGCCAGTTTAATTTGCTTGTGAGGTTGCATAAGAAGATTTGAAGTCCTGTAAACCTTAATGTGCTGCATATATTTCTACAAGAAATTGTTGTTTGGAGAGTTTACATGCATCTTTTATCCTATTTACTGGTGTATACATTTCTTCATTAAATGAACATGGCATAAAGACACAAAGAATGCATTTGTAATTCAGGTGAGGGGTGGTGATATATCTTTTGACTCGCTTCAGTTTTTTATACAGTAATGTTGTTAATGGTGTAACAATTATTGACAGAATTATTAAATATAAACTGGAGTTCACCTTTTTCTACTCTCATCAAATCTGTGTTTTCAGTTACGGTTTTCAGTCAGTTTTGTGTTTCATGTAATATCATATGATTGAGAAAGAGTCTGTTGCTTTAGGTGTAGCACAGAATCACTCCAACTTGTTCATGAGCCCACGTCAGCGTATCCCAGGTCTAATAGAAGGTCAGATTTATACATATCCATCAAAGCGATGGCGCAAAAAGCGCCGCCAGTATCTTATGAACTTCATGCAACCACGGCGCAAGGAATTAGACCCAGAGAGTGACCTTCATACAATCAGCACAGTTGAAAATCCTGCAGCCAGTAATGAAGATAGCAAGGACAGTGTAGGACTGAAAGATGAGGCTGCTAAGGTAATATTACTTGCCTAATATTTATACACATGGCTTCCATATTAAACTTGAAACACAAGGGGATAGGAGTAATGTGCCAGGAGTAAGTAAACGTGATATATTGGTAACACTGCTAGAGTGTTCGGTTTTTATGTTGATTGTAGCACCTGGTATTCCAGTATTTAATGATGACTATGACCTCTCAGAATACTGACCTTTCCTCCTGGGACATTCTGTATAATGAAAGTGAAGCTATTCTTTTTAATCCTATTCGATTTTGATGAAAAAGTAGTCCGTAACTGGAATGTATTAAAAAATTTGTTTTTCATGCTCTTAAACTATATTCCATTTTAAAGGGTGAGTTTCAGACATGAGCAGCTTTCAAGTTTTGTAATTTATTTATGGTTACCTGGTTGTAGAATCCTGGGTTCTTTAGAACTCAGTTTGGGTGTCTGTGATACAGATTATGATCTGTCATATTGACCTTGGGTTGGTGATGTGGTGGTGTTTTTACAGGATGCCTGGTATTATGATGAACTAGATATGCAGGAAATGGAAGGATTTGATGATCCTGATCCAGATTCTGATTATGATTATGAGGAATCTTATAGTAAGCGAAAGGGAAAGAAACGTACATCAAAAGTAGCCAGAAATACTGATTCTCCTGCTACTAAGAAGCCCAAGGTAAATTGTTCTGTTTGGTTATGAGTGTAATGTAAACAGTGTTTGTGCAAGTGGATTTCAGTGTTCAGCATTTTCCTACATTACAGTTAACACCATTATATCTTTGGAAATGTAAATTACCCACTGAGCTGGGGTAGCTCAGTCAGTATAGTGACTGTCTATGGACTGGATGACTAGGGTTTGATCCCCAATGGGGGCAAAGGATTCTTTCTCTAGCCTCTGCGACTAGACTGGCTCTGAGGTCCTCCCAGCCTCCTATCGAATGGGTACCAGGGTTCTTTCCTAGGGGTAAAGCTCGGCTGGGGTGTGACGCTGACCACTCACACCTGTCTAGTGCCGAGATTAAGAATTTGTAGGAACTATACCACCTCTCCCCCCAAGTTCCTACATGGCGTATAATGGAACAGCTTTACCTTACCCATTGAAAATGTTCTCCGAGTCTGTAAATTATGATTAGTATAGGGTTATTCATAATTCCCTGACACACTACAAAAGATTGTGCAATGGATGGTAACATAGGATGTGCCGATAGAAAGAGAAATTCTCCAAGTTTATTTTACATACCTCATAAATGCCCTATGTGTCTGCCTTTGTGACAGATGTTCATTTCCGCCCATACCCACTGCAACATGTCACTATCGATTTGTGAGATGGCAGTGATGATTCGTTTTCGCAGTTCACGGAGATCCCATGGCAGAGACGGTACAAAGACCTGGTCCTTAACGTACCCCTATAAGAAAAAAATCACGTGGTGCCAGGTCAGGTGATCGGGGTGGCCAACAAAGCAGTGCATGGTCATTGGCAGCCATGCGTCCGATCCAACGTTGTGGCAAATGCTGATTGAGGTAGCCGCGGACGAGGCTCCTTGATTCATTCCATTACAGCTGCACAAAGAACATAAATTTTAATCAACTGACATGTCTCATAGCCCAAGAAGATTCTATTAATGTTAGTCCCTGTGAAAGCTTCAGATCAGACACAAAGAACTATTTCAGTTGCTTCTGATTGATTTTGATAATTAAGTTTTTACTAATACTATGAAACATAAATTAGCACATGATTCCCAACTAAGCAAACTCATGACAAGTGACAGGATACTGTCATCTGAGGTAATGCCTTTTGAAATTTGGGAAAGATGGTTGTATTGTAAGGGTTACTTCAGCATCCGCCCCATTTGCATATGTACACACACAGACAAACCCATGCCTTAATCATTTAGTGTATTCTTACAGTGTGATGGTGGACACAAAATGTGCTTACAGGGACCTGGACGAGGACGAAAGAAAACCAATTATGATGCACTGACTGATGCAGAAAAACCATTCTCCTGTGAACGTAAGTTCGGCCTTTACCACGTTTAACAGTGGCATTGGGATATAGTTGCTAGCTTTGGTCTCACAACGGGCCAAGTCAACACGAAAGTGTTACATGTTTCCATGCCTGAAAGAGATGCTTCTGAAGTGACATGTAGACAGTGGGGCAGTCTCTTTTACTGCCATGTGTATATTTGATGATCACATTACATAATGTTTCATAATGCAGTTACCGACATTCATGCATGAAAATGGTCACGATACTGTGATCATTGTGTAGATGTAAGAGCTTTCCAGATATGAATGAGGAATATGTAAACAGTTTTGAATTGTGTGTAGGCAGTACATGATGTAGAGTGGCAGACATTTTCCCATTCTCTTTCTGGTTCTATCACTTTCTCTTAATTTGAATTGCTTCATGTACCAACAGCTTCATCTTGCTCTTGCATCTCAGCTTGTGCTACAATAGTGAATGTTGTATGGTGGAGGCTAATGCTACTCATGCGCACAATTGAAGAAAAAGTGGCAGTGTTGCAGTGCAGTCCATGTTCTGTGATTAGGCAGAATAGTTCAAAGCTTGTAGTTCTGTTTTAGGCACCAGCTTGAAATTGATGAATTACATTTTTTCTTCAATCTCTTAACTTGGGTGGTGGATCCAGAGCTTGTGCTTATATTCCTACTTGGGGCTACCTATGATGTGTCTAGTTTCTTTGTCTTTCTTGTAGGACTACATAAGCTGAGTTTGGATAATGGTGTCAGACTTTCTTGCCCATTGCACGCAAAGTTTATATTTGCAGATGAAAAACTTTCCCTGGCATGAAGAATTGCAAGTGTGTGAAGAAGTAGAATATCTCATCTTGATCTACACCATCTTGTAGAAAGGGAACACATTATGAGCTTAGTTTGCAGAGTGATGTCACTGCACCACATCTGTGCGAGCAAAACCTCCAAGTCGGTGTTGCTCCCTTCATTTTTGTTGTTGTTGTTGTTGTGGTTTATGCTGATTGAAGGTCGTTTGTGTTGGGCCAGTCTTGGCCTTGAACTGTAGGCTGAGTTTGTTGCAGTGTGTGGAGCTCGCTACAAGACTCGCCCGGGCCTCACGTACCACTACACTCATTCACACAAGGACCGTGATGACGAGGATTGTAGCAGCAGTGGCATGGGAGGCCCTGAGGGGGGTTCGATGGGGTCAGTAGACCGTGGGGCCTCCCCCAGCGTGAAGCAGCAGCAACAACAACAGCTTCTGCAGCAGGCACAAGTGGTGGCATCCCAGGCACAGGCCACCACAGATCCAGGAGCAGCGGCAGGTTGGAGCAAGTTCCAGGACAGTTACCTCACCTTCCTAAAAACCCCCGGTACGCTCACATGCTGCCTCTCGGAACCACTCGCCCGCCTGCCTGCCCGAGCCCAACATACTTAACCCCTTCACATGCAAACACTTGGGGTTTGGTCCTCTTCACCTTGGGATTGGCAACACCTTCCTCATGGGTTTGAAGCAGTTACTTGAGTTTGAACACCATTACCATCTTTTCCTTCTTTTGGGTTTGAACAGCATTAATACAGTTTCTTCTTGTTTTATTGTGTTTGGGAAATGCTAAGTTTTAACTCACTTCTTGCTGGTATTAGAGTTGTCACCTTCCCGTACCCAGTATTCTCTGGCCTGGACATTCTTATCTCTTGCACATCCTCTCTCCCATCTTCCTTTCTCATTGTGATGTTTGTGTATGTTGGATGTTGGCAGCATTGAGATCACTTCTTTCATTTGCACATTCATTCAGCGCAATGGGTTCCTTCTTATCATCATTTAATAACCTTCAGATTGACAGAATAGTAACATTTGCTGTCTCAGCTTCAGTTTGGACATTTCTTTATCATCAGTAGTATTTGTTCTTTATTTTTTTCTTTATTGTGCACAAGTTGCAGAAGTTTTCATTTCCTTTGGTCTCTTTTTTTAAAATTTATGTAGAGTGTGCTTGTTGTCAGTTGATCGTTTCACACTAACACCTTGTGAAGTGCCGGAATGGACAGTACTGGATATCGAAGAAAGAAACTGCCAATAATGAAGAAGTTGTGTCCTATGTTATGAAATGGTTTATAGAAGAACTGTTGCACTTCACTTTGAAGATGTTCTTTCAGCAGACTCTTGTTTTTTTTTTTTCATATGTGCACATCTTCACTCTAAGTTCATTGGCCTTTTTTATTACATTTGTTTCTCTCCGCTTATAGTTTTTACCTGGCACATTCCAAATTAGGTACATGAGGTGTGGCTTGGACTTCTTGGATTTTTGTTGGTGGGGCCGTGGCAGAGTGAAGTTTACTGGGGGGTTCCACCCCATTCTAACCCCACTTATGTATAACCTTGTAGATTGTCAGCAACACCCATTTTTTTAAGAGATTGGCCAGTGGAAAGAAACTTGGACATTAATGTATGTGTACATTGTTTTCAAAGGATTGCCGTATTTATTCAAAAGATGTATGTGGATTTTGTGTTTTGTTCATTTCGGTGAACATGGCGTTTGCCGCCTGTCCAGCTTGTTTACCTAGAAGTGACTGGTGTTATCTAGTTTTCAATAATATTTTATTAATTGTTCCTTCTGTGTTGTTTTTTTAGCATTTAACACTGCAAATGAAATGTACAGCTGTGATACTGTATGTGGTGTCTTCATATTTTCATCTGTACGATTTAGTTAGGGGCATATCAGTCTAGTTTCGTACGCGACGTAGGAACTTGTTGTTTCGGGCTGAATGTACACTTTATAGATCGTGTTCATTTTGTCCATACCTACATAGCCTTGGTGATGGTCTACTCATGCATATGCTGCATAGTTTGATGCTGACTAATGGGAAAATTTCATAAGCAAGTCTTCATGAAGTTTTGTTTAAAATATAATATCTTTGGTTGTATTTAATGTGTTATTTGAATGACCTTACATAAAATTTACACGTTCTGTACATAGTGCTACGTGTCTTTCTACATATGTCATCTCTCAATGTAATTTCGGTCAGCATTGTTTTTGTGTACCCTACTTTATTTGAAAATGAAATGGACCATATCAAATATCTGGAAACAGTTCATCATATGTTACATGGAATATATTAGTATATCCCATTAAGTTCTGTTAGATGCTATTTGAAAGTTTAATGAAATACAAAGAAAACGTAATTCTATATTCTATGCACCATATTTTGTCAGCAGTTCATTAGAATTTATGATACTGAAGTGTAGTGTCCCTGTTCTTTATTGTGTCACAGGTAGACTTGAATGCACAGTAAATGAACATAAATACCAGTGGAGGTCACAGACTTGCAAAGAGTGATTTGGAAGTTGTGTGCTCCAAACTGGAGTAAGTTTCAGCTCTTCAAGGTGCAGTTGGTTGAAGTATGTTATCTAATTAAATTTTATTCTGATTAAATTCGTCAGTGCAGCAATAGGCATTTATTTGTATTGAACATAAATAACCAGAATGAGGTACAGAGTCAAATGATGTCAGTGCAGCAATAGGCATTTATTTGTGTTGAACATAAATAACCAAAATGAGGTACAGAGTCAAATGACTGAATTTGAATGTTTTAATTATCCTGTTTTTGCTTTTATGTTTCTTGAAATTCCACATGAACATATTTATTAAAATAAATATACAGATGACTGTCTTCTGGGATGTTGACCATATAGTCTGGTAGAAGCTTAGTGATATTTTATAAGTGCTTGCTACTCTGTCATTAGGGTCCTTAGCGTGAGAACCCGAGAAATCACAAAATAAGTATTGATACTAACCATTAGGGACGTACTGGAATTCAGGTCATAATTATATTGTGTTTCAACACTTTCAGTTACTGTTTGCAACTCCATTTTCGTGCTTCGTTTTCTTAGAAATTAAATTCTTCTGATGTTTTGATTTAAAAATAATCACAAGAGAAAGTTCTAATGAATCACTTTTATCTTTACTGAATTTTACTAATGAATTGTCTTTGTCTTTTGAATTTGCAGTTGCTTATTATTTGTTTTTCAGAAAAGTTTTGACTGAGGGTAATAGGGTTTGCAGCTTTTTAAGCATAGCAAGCACTGATATTTACTTCTTTTCCTCCAATATGCCTTCAAGGTGCATTTCTTAGGCAATGGGGCAACTTTTTCTTTTCCCTTTGCCTTGTATTATTAATGAAAAGAAGTGACATTACAGAATGATTAGCAGTTATTGACTGGCAAATCTTCATTATGCCATATTTGACTGCAGAAATTTTATTTAAAAACACACACACACACTTGAAAATAAGCAGTGTTGTGATTAATCTGAGTAAGTACGGTAAATCTTTGAAGCACACAGTAAAATGTGGATGTAATTCCTTCATCAAATGGGAATAATGGTAATGAAGAAGAGATTGAATGGCTGTTGCTGATATGGCACTTGTCTGTTCAAGCTAAGGTGGACGTGACATCATGTTGGATTCATTGGCAATAGGAACAGCATCTTTTGATTGATGTCTCGTACACCTTATTGTCTGTTGTACACTAACACTTGTCGTGCAGTGAAATTTGCAGTCTGCTGTTTCAAACTAAATTGATTGGGAAAAGAGATTTAGCACAGCAATCTGCAGTTTTCTTTAATCAGACTTATTGAGTGCCCTTGTCCTTTTAGATCCCTGCTTCACTTCCTGTTTCGTTCAACCAGAGTAGCAGTTGATTCATAACCCATCCTAATGTTTGGTAATACTATATTAATATTTGCATAATTTTTAAATTGCAGATTGGTTTTCTGTATTTTTTTTCAGTTCCTGATTTACTGTAATTAAAATTTTGTTTATACATTGTTAGGGGCTCATTGAATGTTTATGATTTTGTGGTTCTATTTTTTTTATTATTGGCTGTTTTGGAGCTATTGCCAACAGTGTCTAGCATGCAACACATTGGTCACTAGGCTGTTGCAACTTGGGTTGGCTCAGCTATGGAGGAACGGGTTGGTTCAGCTATGGAGGAACAGAAACTTAACAAGACTGGCATTATTTTATTAACGTGGACCAGATGCTAACTTAACTGAAGTGCCTGGAAGAAGGTGTAGGATCATTATGGTTCTCTTTCTGCACACAACAACAAATTATGTTAAATTAACCTGCAGGAAAAGGTTTGACATGTACTGGCTTGAAGTGTGAGTTGCCTCTGCACTATGAATACAAACTCCATGCTGTATGTTTTCATTTTTGTAGCTGTGTGATTGTTTTTTATGTTGGCCACATTTGTCAGGCCACAGCATGCTATGCTTAATCTGTGTGTTCTGTGCTAGCTGTGTTTGTTTGTCCCCTCACATTCTGTGATGGCAGAGCATGTATTATTATTTCACAAGACTAAATGAAAACCATTTCCTTGTTTATAAAGATTTCTGCTGATTCTAGACTAGCTAGTGTTGTGCATAATAATATACTTGTCATTTTACATCAAGTGAAAATCATTCAGATATGATTGTAAGAAATTTCCAACATAAGTTGATAAAATTGTGACAGTTTGGGATACTTTTGGTCTAAATGGGCAATCACTTGTAAGAGGGATGGGATTTGTGACTGGAAAGTTCTTACTTCATCTGATGGTTCTGTGTGTCACAGATTTTTCTGGGTCACACAGCTAGTGCACGATACTCATACTAATATGTTGGTCGGTATGCAACAGGTAGCAGCACTCGTCGTGGACGGCAAGGCTCCTCTGCATCGCAGCATGCTACAGCTTCCGTGCCAGTACCTCCCGTGGTTGTAGCCCAAAGTTCAGAAGATACAACTCCAACCAGTGTCACTACACCTGGCCTGGAAAAGAAACCTGAGGTACTGGTTAATTAGCTCCTTCTTAATACATCTTTAAACTGTCAGTGTAACACTGTGTGTTTTGTATGAACAAACAGCATGTTCTGTGTTCTACTAGACCTCTGGAATGTTATACTGTATACAGACCTTTGGTGCTCTTGTGATGTCTTCTCCACACAACACTCATTGTATGATTGTCCTAAAGAGACTAAGACAATTGTTTGGGAAAATTGTATACAACTTGTGTTTGAGTCAAATTCCTCAACTGAGTCATCTGAACGTGCATACACTGTTTT